CTCAGAGTCTAAAAAGATAAAACACCTAAATGCAGCAAATGATTTTGAAATGGATCCTTTTGCTATAAAGAACATTATTGGTGGCTCTTCATAGGGTTCTGAGCATTAAATGGTAGTAATGTATTAATGTTACTTTGATTTTGATGGTTTTGTAGTTATATAGGAAAATATCTGTAGGAAATACACACTGAAGTATTCATGGGTGATGAGACATCAAGAAGGCAAATTGCTATCAAATGGTTCAGGAAAAACAGTTTGTGATTGCTTTAGTCTTTAAAAAGATGTTAGTAAGAAGGAAGAAAGAAAAGAATTGAAAGTGACAGGTATAGAAGGTAGGCAAAGAATATTCAACATGCTTGTAATAGGAGTCTCCTAGGAAGAAATCCAAAAACAATGCTAGAAAATGCATAAGCAAGAAATCTTTTCTAAAATTAAAAAAGTTATTTCAAACTACTTATCAAAATGCCATAATAAAATGATTAGAATTAAAAGGAAAAAAAATCTGGAATTCCACTTCCGTCCCCCATCAAAAAAAGAAAGAAAATTCTGTTGTTCTCAGTTTATAGAAGACAGTGGAGTGAATATACTCAATAAAAAAAGAAGCTGAATCAAACAGACTTTCACATATAAAGACTGGAATCAAATGTATCAACAAATAATTAGAGTTATAGTGTTCGTATAAACACTTCCTGGGGAGAGAGAACAATCTTCAGACATCCAAAATGATAGGAGGAGGGATACTGACATAAGGACTGGTATTAGCATTAATGAAGATGATTGTAAGGAAGAGGGTGTATAATATGAAAAAGCTATATGCTCTGACAATTTTGATAAGTACAGTTATTACAAAATGAGGGCAGAATTTGCAGATAATATGAAAACAGAATAAGCTTCCTAATTGCTTTAAAGTGTTTAACTGGATATAAAAGTATAGTATTTGCAATCAGATCTGGGAAGATTGCTTGTAGGAGGAGACCAAAAGACAAAAGCCAAACCAAAGCTTGCCATTAGAACAGAAGGACAAGTGAGTCTGAATTTTTACACACACACTTAAAAGAACAAACCACATAGTGAGACTGTGCTCCGGTTACTATTGCTTCATAAGATACTACCCCAAGCTTAATAGATTAAAACAGCCTTTTAATAGATTTTGTAGGTTAGGAATTCAGGCAGGATTCTGGCTGGATGGTTCTTGTTTTCCTTCTGGCATCAACTGAGGTCACTTAGTGGGACTTGGGTGGCGAATGAGCTGCTTTGGAGGGCCCAGTTTGGCTTTGCTCCCCTTGTCTTATGCGTTGGTGGTACTGGCTGGAAGTTTGGGCTCGGAGTACCATCATGTGACCTCTGCAGTATGGTGGTTTTAGAACAGTCTTGTTGCGTGGTACCTGGCTTCCACTGAACGAGCGTTACAGAAGAACCAGGCAAAAGCTTCGTGGCCTCTTCTGATCCGACCTTGAAAGTCACACGGGATTACTTTCACATTTTTTGTCATACAAATGACCCAAAGCACTAGCCCAGATTCCAGGAGAGGGGAATTAGATTCCGCCTCTGGATGGGGAAATGGCAAGGTCACAGTGTACAAGAGCATGGGATGCAGGCATCTTTGGAAAATACAATCTGCTACTGGTTTATTTATGTTAAAAGCTTGAATAAATAAGACAGGATGATAAGAATAGAACTGAGAACAAACAATTTCTGTCATATCAAAAGTTAATTCATGAAAACAGACAATTTTCAGCCTTGCTAATAAAGCAGAATTTAACCCTATGAAGTATATGAGAGTCATACGTACAACAAAGAAGTAAAAGTTGAAAACAAAGGACTGCATATAGCTGTATAAAAAAAAAAAAAAAAGCATGGATGACATCTTTATATACTGTGCAGTTATCTTCTGGATATACTTACTTTTTTTTGTTTGTTTATTTGTTTTTGAGACGGAGTCTCGCTTTGTTGCCCAGGCTGGAGTGCAGCGGCCAGATCTCAGCTCACTGCAAGCTCCGCCTCCCGGGTTCCCGCCATTCTCCTGCCTCAGCCTCCCGAGTAGCTGGGACTACAGGCGCCTGCCACCTCGTCCGGCTAGTTTTTTGCATTTTTTTTAGTAGAGACGGTGTTTCACCATATTAGCCAGGATGGTCTCGATCTCCTGACCTCGTGATCCACCCGTCTCGGCCTCCCAAAGTGCTGGGATTATAGGCTTGAGCCACTGCGCCTGGCCCTGGATATACTTACTATTAAGTGAAAAAAGCAAAGCAGAGAAATGTGTATTCTACTGTTGAAGAAAGAAGAGAAATGTTGGCTGGGTGCAGTGGGTAATCTCAGCACTTTGGAAGGCCAAGGCAGGCGGATCACGAGGTCAGAAGCTCGAGACCATCCTGGCCGACATGCTGAAACCCCGTGTCTACTAAAAATACAAAAATTAGCTAGGCGTGGTGACGTGTGTCTGTAATCCCAGCTCCTCGGGAGGCTGAGGCAGAAGAATCGCTTGAACCCGGGAGGCGGAGGTTGCAGTGAGCCGAGATCGCGCCACTGCACTGCAACTTGGAGACAGAGCGAGACTCCCTCTGAAAAAGAAAAAAGAAATGTATGTTTGTGTGTATATATACACACATATATACAGATATAAAAATATGGAGTAAATGTAAATGTATTTGCATGTTTGTGTGTATCTTTATATTGTTTATATGTTTACATATAAGGATCAGGACAGAACAGGATGAGAAAAAGGGATAGAAACTGGGCTTTTAAATACCTGTGTTTTATAAATTTGACTGTGGAGTTATTTTACCTACTTATAAAATCAATAGTCCGGGCGCAGTGGCTCAAGCCTGTAATCCCAGCACTTTGGGAGGCCGAGACGGGCGGATCACGAGGTCAGGAGATCGAGACCATCCTGGCTAACAAGGTGAAACCCCGTCTCTACTAAAAAATACAAAAAATTAGCCCGGCGAGGTGGCAGCGCCTGTAGTCCCAGCTACTCGGGAGGCTGAGGCAGGAGAATGGTGTGAACCCGGGAGGCGGAGCTTGCAGTGAGCTGAGATCCAGCCACCGCGCTCCAGCCTGGGCGACAGAGCGAGACTCCGTCTCAAAAAAAAAAAAAAAACACACAGTGAAAGTTTTAAAAGGCAAATTGAAGTTGAAAATAAAGTACAAATGAATCTAAATGTGTGTCCACTTGGCACCAGTAATACTCAGGGAGGAACTATTCCAAGTAATTTTGAAATGGTAATTGGCCAGGTACAGAGGCTCACACCTGTGATCCCAGAGCTGTGAGAGGCCAGAGCGAGAGGATTGCTTGAGGCCAGGAGTTCAAGAGCAGCCTGGACAGCATAGCAAGATGCCGTCTCTACCAAAAATAATTTTTAAAAAGTTAGCCAAGCATGTTGGTACGCACTATGGTCTCAGCCACTCGGAAGGCTGAGGCAGGATTGCTTGAGCCCAGGAGCTCAAGGCTGCAGTGAACTGTGATTGTACCACTGCAGTCCAGCCTGGGCAACAGAGCAGGACCCTGTCTCTGAAAATAAAAAAAGAAAACAATAATTCAACCATACATCTCTAGCTATAGCCTAAGGATTAAAAGCTACAGGAAATAGTTAACTGTTTACGGTAATCATATGGTAGTACTGTTGGTGGTGTAATTCACTGTTGTAAATGTCATATTGGATAAAACAAGTAAGTCATTATGCTGGTACTTTTGTTCTGCTGTCTCCACTATCTTGAGAACCAGAATTACTCATATCCAAGAAAGCAGATACAACGCTAACATAGAAGAGGTTGAGTATAAACCCAGTGGTTCTAATTTTTCATTAGAAAAACCAGTATAAACTCATGATATATTTTTATTATCTCCATTCATCAATCTGTGGTTTAGCTGTGTCTACATGTACTAAAGACAACTTGCCATGGATTGATAATTATTTAATTATGATGGATACATTCTATTAAGGCTATTTATTTTTTTTTAAGTGTTTTATTATAATTTTGAAAGGATAGTAAAATATTTTGTTAGATATTAATGTGGAACTTTAAATGTTTCTAAGCTTTTTGATGAATTATTGCTTCAATTGAGCTTATTATCCATAAAATAAAGTTGATGATGATGGTGAAAGGAAGAGTAACTCAACAATAAACATGCTTACTCTTACTCTGTCATCTTAACCTCTACAAACTCCCAGAGAAGTTGTTTGCTGTAAGACAGGCTTGAAACTCAAATTGGAAATGACCTAGTTGTCTGCAATTTGTTTGTTGTAAATAGAGGGGAAAAAAAGATACGTGTTTATAACCATGTAACTGCAGTATTTTTGAAAAAGTGCTTAAACTTTTGTTATTAATAGATTTAGTGGTTTTTAATATGTAGCTTTAAATAGTTCATTTTCAAAATCATATTTTGGTATAAAAATATTTTTAATAAAAATATTTGTGAATGTTACTTCAGATTGCTTTTGTGTCTTTTGAATTTTGACAATTTATAAATTATAAAATGAGTTAAAATAAATTTTATCACTTGTTTAAGGCATATTTTTCCCTTTAGTGTTGACCCTGCACAAGTTCCATATTGAAGTATGTAAAATGAACTGATCGTCTCAAGGGAAAAAAGTCAATAATCAAAGCATCTAGTGTATTAATTATTATTATAGGTTTTTTCCTTAATATAAAAGTTAGAATAAATCCTGATTTTTAAAATTTACACTTAAATTCAATAGTAATAAGATTACTGCTGTCTACTGCGTGGAAATTGTCATTTAATTGACTAAATGTGGTGTAAACTTTAAAAGAGCATGTAGGAAAATTCTAACTCAGCCAGTTCTAAATTATGGTACATTTAGGTTATTAATAATTTTTTTTTGAAATTTGTGTGTTGGGCAAAATCTTATGCATATTACTATTTTAAGGTTCTAACCACATTTAATCAGTTATAGGACAGTTTACCTATATAACATGTTATCTTCAAATAACTTATTTTTTGAAAATACATCAATTTATTTCTCTTTTTCTTCCATCAGAATACAGTCGTTTTGAAGCTAAAATACATGATTTACGGGAGCAGATGATGAATAGTAGTATTAGTTCAGGGTCAGGTTCTCTTCGAACTAGCCAGAAGCGATCCCTCTATGTCAGGTAAATTTTTTTACTTCTAATTATGGCAACTCTTAGTTAGTTATGAATGTAAATTGTTTTGTATTTTTCACTATAACTTATTTAGTTTTACCATAAGAAAATATATTGCAAATCAGTGTTGTTTTTTATTATTGATTTTCTGACAGTGTGTCTTTCAAGAATTGGAATATTGTTGAATTAATACTTTTTTTAATGAAAGTTATGTTATCCTTTAGTAATAATGATATGATAAAGGAAAAAATTCTGTGGACCAGAAATTGTTTTCAGATTGATGTGTTAGTAGTGGCCACAAGGTTGATAATATAATATCTAACACTTAGATTTAACCTATATCCTTTCCTAATATATTTTCCGTTCAAGTAACATTTAATTACCTTGGCAATTTCCATAGTAGCATAGGAAGCATATGTAAATTATAATTTAAAATGTGAATAGCCTCAGTAAATAATACATATTCGGAAAATTTCTACATGCATTTTTTTAAACACTTGGGAGAAGGCAAATATGTTATTTTCCTATAATATAAAGGTTAAATGGCAACATAGGTCTAATAAATAGGTGATATTAGTATATAAACTGGGTTTGTTTTTTTTTTCATTTCGTTGGCTTATAAGACTTAAAACAGAAATCCGAATTTATTTGTATTCTGTATACTTCTGGTAGAACTCTAACTGATGACTTTATTATACGTTATTGTAACATTAGCACTGTAAGTAATCTGAACCATTCTTTATAAACGATCATCTCAGTCCTCCTGATTCTGTTGGGGGACCCATTCCTAATATGTTTCATTTATCCTTCTGATGAGAGAGAGATGTTACATATGTAAACCTGTATCCTATACACATGTATATCTATACACACAAACAGGTCCTCTGTGCTTGTTTACATATGATATGACTTACTGTCTTCACATAATCTTACTCTGATACATCATGAAAGGAAACTTTTCTCACTTTCTTCTTTCTATTCATTTTGTCTTTTGCTGTAAGTTCTTTGCTACATATAACCCTACCAATGATGTGGGAATCTTAAATCATCAGATTTTTTTCTCCCTTTGCCAATTCTAACAATACTCATTAAACTCTTGTGTTCCAAATTTATTAAAAGTATATTATATATACAGATACATCGAAAATAGAACATGGATTTTTCTACTCTCTTTTTTACATTTTCTTTTTTTTGCTTATCTACATTTCCTAATTTTAGTATAATTAATAGGTGTTGCCTTTTGTTTGTACTTGATTAAATATTTACAAAGGCATAAAAATCACGACATAATAGGTTATATTTATTTTCGGTACATTTAGTGAGTCATCTTCACTTTTTATTATTTTTAGAGAAGTAATGCTCTCTTTTCTTTCTTTCTTTTTTAAGACAGGGTCTCACTTTGTCACTCAGGCTGGAGTGCAGTGGCACGATCTCAGCTCACTGTAGCCTCAACCTCCCGGGTTCAAGCGATCCTCCTGCCTCAGCCCCCCAAGTAGCTGGGACTGTAGGCACGTGCCACCACACCCAGCTAATTTTTGTGTTTTTAGTAGAGATAGGATTTCACCATGTTGGCCAGGCTGGTCTCGAACTCCTGAACTCAAGGGCTTCACCCACCTTGGCCTCCCAAAGTGCTGGGATTACAGGCATGAGCCACTGTACCCAGCTTCTGTTTTTTAAAATCATATATTATCAAAAGACTTATAATGAAAAATAACTGTCACTTGCACCAACCCCTAGTTTCATTCTCCAGGAACAAGCATCCTCCATTTTCCTAGCAAACTTCCTTCACCTCCTTACTTCTAAATATGAAGCCTTCACCTCTATATTTCTAAATAACATACATATACTGCTATCTTCTATTTTACCAGTTTTGTGCGTTAGTCTTAAAACCATGGTAGATGAGAACTTTTCTCCATAGTACCAAACCACTCATTCAGTCTCATCACCATCACCCAAACATAGCTATCTCTGTTAATAAAACTAATAGCATTTAGAGTCATGTGACTATGTAATAGCTGTCATGACTCAGTCAAGTGGAACCCTATGAGCTGCCTCCTTTCTTCCGCACTCCTTCATTTTTCCTGGGCTTAATAATTGTCTTGCATTTTATTTGATCAATTTTTCATATGCTTACTACTAACTATCTTTCTGTATCTTCCAGTAACCACTGTAGAGCTTTTCACATTACGAAAACATAGTCACACATATGGTCTGATAGTTCAGGTTTTTCCCATCTTTATGCTCCAGTCTAGACTAATTCCTCTGCAAACTTGCTGTATAGCTCTCAACTGGGACTTCCCTTTGCCATTATTCTGTTCCCTTTGACTGTCTACGATGTCACGTTTCCTAGATGCCACGTTTTCTTCTTAATTAATCTTCCTAGAGCACATCCTCCAGTAAATTCCTGCGAAAAGATGTGTGGGAGGTACCTTTTGAGTCTTAGCATGTCCGAAATGACCTTATCTTGCCTTCTCCCCAGTAGAGAATTTGGAATGTTGGGGGAGGGAATGATATCTTGTTTTATTTTCCAGGAGCTCACTCATCTTCCATTTCTTTTGTGGACATAATCTCATGTGTCTGAGATTTTCTTCTGCTTTTTGTATTCTTTGCTTTCTCTGTATTCCTTTTTTCTAGCCTATTTTCTTGGGGGTTTTTTCTGTAGTGTTTTATATAAGGCATTCTTTAAATAGCCAGTGTTCCTTTCATTGTTTTCCATTCTTATGAACAGAGAAATGAAGATAATGGATTTAACTAGAAGACAATGGGGTAAAGGGAGGAATAAATTGGCTCTTACATTTCCTCTGCTGTCCCACGTCATTCTGTTCTTTGGTATAATTAAATATCTCTAGAGAAGAATCCCTGTCTCCTGCCAATAGTATAAACCAAGTTGCTAGAATTTCATTTTCATCCATTTCAGTCCAGCCATCTTCCTCTTCTCCACCAAGTTTCAGAGTATACAGCTCCTCAAATTCAGTTTCTCTGGAGACTCAACCTGTAGTCTTCTGTGGGTTTGGGGAAAAGGAACTTTGGTGGGGGTGGTGTAAGTGCTACATACAGTGTTTCTACCTTCTGTTTTTAGTACAGTAACTTATCCCTGCCTACCTTGGTACTACTGTACACTTCTAATTTATGACCATCTCCAGGATTCTTGTGGAATAAAACGTGTTTCTATAACCCTGTCTGCTGACACTCCATTTATAGCTTCTTTCATTCTGCTAAATTTAATTAGCATCATCCAAAAATGTGTTAAAATCTCTCTTCCCCTGTTTTCTTCTCTTGTATTTTTCTTATTTTATTGTCATTTTAATGAGTCAGGATGGAGAAGAAATAGACACAGTCTGCTATAGTTAATCAGAAGCCTTGTGGTTCTTTTTGAGATGGGGTCTTGCTGTGTTGGCCAAGCTTGTCTTGGACTCCTGGGCTTAAGGGATCCTCACACCTTAGCGTCACAAGTAGCTGGGACTGCAGGCACACACCACCACACCTGAGTCTTGTGGGGTTTTTTAGTCAATGTATTTTTAATTTGAAAAGCAAAATAAAAAAAAAACAGGCTACAAAAAACTACCTACAGTAACCTCTTTATAAAGCTCTGAAACAAGCAAAACATACATTATGTTGTTTAGTCACTCACGTGTTATATGATCAAACCAACCAAAAAAGAGTGAGTCAAAGAAACAAACATATGAAGAATGATAGTTAAATCTAATAGTGGGGAACTCTTGCTCCAGGGGAATCAGGACAGAGGGAATATGTGCAGGTGAATGTGAATTACTGATGAAGGTTTCGTGTGTAGTCTTAGGTTGGATAGTAGGTGAACAGATGTTCATTGCACTCTTATGATTAATAACTCACATGTATTCCATGGGCTTCTTTTTTTATGAATCAAATATATTAGAATGTTAAACTGCTAACATAAGTAGAGATTGTGGGTGATTTCTTTTCCTTTGTTGTTCAATAATACAGTTAGATTTTGTGATTCAAAAGGTGAATTTTTATAATAATGTAGGAAGTTAATATTTTCCTTTTCTGAATGTCTTGACATTTGTACTACCTCTTAAGGCACTTTATTTTCTATTTTATATTATGCTTATTTGTCCCCTCATCTTCTCTGTGTTTGAAAGTGGGTTTAAGTGAGCCTTCCTACTTACGATTCCCCCTGCTTCCTTAACACCTTTAGCCCCACGAAAAGACTTGAAAGAACTCATTTGAAAAACCATTAACTACTAGTTTGTTTATTTAGCTGTCAAGTAATTCCACCCCTCTTGAGTTTTACTAGAAGAGATAGGTTCTTAAATGTTGGGTAGTGTGAAAAAGATTATGATTTTCATCCTAATTTCCAGTTGCCAAATTAGAACAAAAGAATGAATAAACTATATTATAAATGTAATTTCTGTGATCCTTTCTTTCTTACACTCTTGAGAGAGCTTATTTGGACTTAAGAATTTGATTTATCTAAATATTGTACATAATCAAGTGGTAGGACACAATATTTTCTTTTTATCAAATTTTAAAATATTCTTAACTTTGCAATTACCATATTAAATTATTACTTTTTCCAAAATATTTGGCAGCTGATGAAGTCATCTGTAATTAATGTTCATATTGTTACTGACTCTGAAAACCCTATCAACTCTAGTATTGTGAACAAATGGAAGGAGTAATTAACTGGCAGAATAATCACTATGTTGATCTAGTCTTACAGTCCACAACTAATAAATCTAATTTATCAGGGAATTTGTTTTCCTACATGTATCTAATGAAAGTAAAGAGAAGAATGTATCTTAATAATTTTTGTTTATTAATTTCAAACTCTCTGGATTGGTCTTTATTTTAGAATTCAATATAGCTTGCCATTGGATTACAAGCCAAGAGTGGTTTTTGTTTTTGTTTTTTTTTTTTTTTTTTTTTTTTTTTGAGGCGGAGTCTCGCTCTGTCGCCCAGGCTGGAGTGCAGTGGTGCAATCTCGGCTCACTGCAAGCTCCGCCTCCCGGGTTCACGCCATTCTCCTACCTCAGCCTCCCGAGTAGCTGGGACTACAGGGGCCCGCCACTGCGCCCGGCTAATTTTTTTCTATTTTTTAGTAGAGACGGGGTTTCACCATGGTCTCGATCTCCTGACCTTGTGATCCGCCCGCCTCGGCCTCCCAAAGTGCTGGGATTACAGGCGTGAGTCACCGCGCCCGGCCCAAGAGTGTTTTTAGAATTTTTCTTGTGATATTGAAAGACACAGATAATACAATATAGTATTTTCATAACAAGTTGATTTTACTATTTCTTTTTTGTCTCATCTTATATGTAGTGCAGAATTGAACTGGGTGTTATTTGGCCTACTATGATATATTTAATTATCCAAATTAAATATACTGTCAGAACCCCATGAAAAGTTGATTAATATCATTATAACAAGTAATTATGGACTTTTTTTCTTCTGACTCTAGAGCCCTTTTTGATTATGACAAGACTAAAGACAGTGGCCTTCCCAGTCAGGGACTGAACTTCAAATTTGGAGATATCCTCCATGTTATTAATGCTTCTGATGATGAATGGTGGCAAGCCAGGCAAGTTACACCAGACGGTGAGAGTGATGAGGTTGGAGTGATTCCCAGTAAACGCAGGTATGTCTGTTTCTTACCACTTGAATGTGGGGCAACATAAATAATTGATGTTCTTTTAAATTTCTTTTAATTTTTGACAACATGGATGGTCCTGGAGTGCATTGTGCTCATTGAAAAAAGCCAGACACAGAAAGACAAAAATTGTATGATCACATTTTTATGTGAAATCTAAAGTAGTCAAAGTCATCCAGAGAAGAATGGTGGTTACCAGGGATTAGGAGGATGGGGAAGTGAGGAGATACAAAGTTTCCATGATACAAGATGAGTGAGTTCTGGACCTCTGATATATAAGCATGGCGACTATAGGTAATAGTACTGTACTTGAAATTTGCTAAGAGGGTCGGTCCTAAGTGTTCTCACCACCCAAAAAAAAGGTAACCAGGTGAGGTAATGGATGTGTTAATTAGGTTGACTGTAGTGATTATTTCACAGTGTTTGTGTGTGTGTGTGTATACACACATAAAATCATTAAGTTGTGCAACTTAAATATATACAATTAGGCCAGGTACAGTGGCTCATGCCTGTAATCCCAGCACTTTGGGAGGCTGAGGCAGGTAGATCACTTGAGGTCAGGAGTCAAGATGAGCCTCACCAACGTGGTAAAACCCTGTCTCTACTAAAAATACAAAAATTACCTGGGCATGGAGGCGCATGCCTGTAGTCCCAGCTACTCAGGAGGCTTAGGCAGGAGAATTGCTTGAACTCGGGAGGCCAAGGTTGCAGTGACCTGAGATTGCACCACTGTACTGCAGCCTGGGAGACAGAGCGAGACTCTGTCTAAAAATATGTGTGTGTGTGTATGTGTGTGTGTGTATATATATATACACACACACATATTTAAAAATAATCACCAGAACAACTGAAAAAATAAATTTCTTTTACTAAAATGATTTTATGCTGTTTTTTATATTGTGTTTCACAGCCATTTAATTTTATTCAAATGGATTTATAACCATTGACATAACTAGAAAATATGGGCCAAACACAACGGCTCACACCTGTAATCCCTACACTTTGGGAGGCCAAGGTGAGCGGATCACAAGATCAGGAGTTCAAGACGAGCTTGGCCAAGAGACCAGCCTGGCCAATATGGTGAAACCCTGTCTCTACTAAAAATACAAAAATTAGCTTGGTGTGGTGGCGGGCGCCTGTAGTCCCAGCTACTTGGGAGGCTGAGGCAGGAGAATTGCTTGAACCCAGGTGGCAGAGGTTGCAGTGAGCCAAAATCGCACCATTGCAATCCAGGCTGGGCAACAGAGCAAGACTCCGACTCAAAAAAAAAAAAAAAAAGCAAGTGATGCTTGCTGCCAAGTAGAAATTTATCTAAAGCTACTAGTTGCTGAAAACAAAATAAGTATATATTAAGTCAATGTGCCATTTAGCTATACCAGTAAAGAGAAAACTGAAAGTGTCGTGGTTGATGTAGATAGCTAAGAGGACCTAAATTTTGTGTTTTTGGTGTCATGAATTTCTTCCTTCATGCCAAAATTTTTGGAAATATCTGGTAATACGCTTCACTTTTCTTTTTCCTTGCTTAAATTACGTGCATTGGTGCAGTACACTGGTCTTTTCTCTTTGCTTTTAATGATTATATATAGGTAGGTAGGTAGATTGAGTGATTTTGTTAAGAGACAGGGTCTTGCTCTGTCACCCAGGCTGAGTGCAGTGATGTGATCATAGCTCACTGAACCTCAGACTCCTGGGCTCAAGCTGTCGCCCACCTCAGCTAGTAGCTGGGACTACAGGCGCACATCACTGCACTCAGCTTAGCTTTTTGTTTTTGTTTTTGTTTTTTTGTGGAGATGGGTTCTAGCTATGTTGCCCAGGCAAATGTTAAACTCCTGGTCTCAAGCGATTTTCTCACCCTAGCCTCCCACAGCTTTGGGATGGCAGGTGTGAGCCACTGCACCCAGCGCAATTGATTCGTTTTAGTGACTCATGGGTGCATACTCAGCAGATAGCAAAAGTAGTTAAGTACAGGCCCTCTTTGCAAAGGATAGTCCCAGCTTAGAGGACCCCTTCTAAGGCCTATGATGTGCTGTTGAATGTCTCTACTTTTGTGGGGAGGGTATTAAAATGTCATTTCAGAACTCCCCCAAGATAGCTTATTTATGAGATCTGCTTAATTCAAATCATTGTCTACAGGTTCTTTTTTTTTTTTTTTTTTTAGACAGAGTCTCGCTCTGTCGCCCAGGCTGGAGTGCAGTGGCCAGATCTCAGCTCACTGCAAGCTCCGCCTCCCGGGTTTACACCGTTCTCCTGCCTCAGCCTCCCGAGTAGCTGGGACTACAGGCGCCCGCTACCTCGCCCGGCTAGTTTTTTGTATTTTTTAGTAGAGACGGGATTTCACTGTGTTAGCCAGGATGGTCTCGATCTCCTGACCTCATGATCCGCCCGTCTCGGCCTCCCAAAGTGCTGGGATTACAGGCTTGAGCCACCGCGCCCAGCCTAGAAGTTCTTTAGGAGCTTTTTTTAAAGTAGTAAGATAGCCAGCAAAAATAGTTAGAGATAATAAAGAAATGTTTATTATTACTAGTTAATTCATTTTAAGTCAAGATTATGCTGTAATAAACTTACTCTTTTCTTATTAATTAGTCAGATTTATACCTATTTTGTAACTATTTCTAGACCTCATTAAATATTAATTTACCTGTTTGTAGAAGTTTAAAAGTAGTAGTATTAAATTATAATCAAGATTTATAATTATGATTTTGGGGCTTATAACTGCTGTGGCTATATCCATATATTTAGCATGATCCAACTATTTGGCTAGATCTTACAGTTGATGGCAAATCCTCTTTTAGCAGTGCAGCAATCAGCATAACTTTTTTCCAGAAATAGAACATAGTCTGCTTTAAATTCGGAAATGCTTCCTCTATGCCTTGTTGAGTCAGTAGAAATCTTACATCTTAAATATCAAGGTCAGAGATCCTAAAAATTGTCTTAGTTCTTGGAGTCTCATACCTTGCAAAGGCTTTCTGTGCCTGCACCCAATAATAAACACTGTTGGCTTCGTTGGAGAGACTTCTGTTTTCATTTTGTACAAAAAGTCTGTAAGATTGTGTTTTAAAGCAAGAAATAATGTAAGAAAGATGTCTTGAGACCTCTGCCAATTTCCAAATTCATGAGTAGCATTGCAGAATATAATCTTACTCCCGTGAAATACAGTAAGAAACCACAACTAATTATGCCATTTGGTTCTTGAATGTATTCAGAACTTACCTTTTCTTAAATAGAACTATGTCTGTCTTAGACCTCTTCTAAAATAACATAGGAATTGTAATTCCTACAATTCTTGGCTTTCTTTCAGGAATAATATTTACAAATGTAGACAATTTAAGTTGCTGAGCTGTGTACTAAAGAAGATAATGATTAGAAAACAAAGTTGAGTTGTAAATGCTCACCCGCTAAATGCTAGTTTTGTGGTGCTGTTAATAAGTACTTAGGCAAGATTATAAATTATTCAGGTCATGTAGCCTCAGAATTGTTCTTGAATAGTAAAAATCATGAGTTTTAATTTTTTTTGTTTGTGGTGGGGACGGAGTCTTGCTGTGTCGCCCAGGCTAGAATGCAGTGGCGCGCAATCTTGGCTCACTGCAACCTCCACTTCCTGGATTCAACTGATCCTCCTGCCTCAGCCTCCCAAGTAGCTGGGATTACAGACACCCACCATGGTGCCTGGCTAATTTTTGTATTTTTAGTAGAGACAGGGTTTCACCATGGTGGCCAGGCTGGTCTTGAACTCCTCACCTTGTGATCTGCCCACCTCAGCCTCCCAAAGTGCTGCGATTGCAGGCATGAGCCACCACGCCTGGACTTAAATTTACAACTTAAATTCATGAATGCTAAGGTCCTGCTGTACCCATAGTAAGACTAAATAGAGAGATAATAAGGAAAAAATAAAATGCATTTATTCATAGGCTTGTTTTGGTAGGCTTTTCTGTTATACACTAACATAATTGCTGTGTTGAAATTGGAAAATTTATGAAAGCTTAATTTACATGAAATTGTACAAGATTTACATTAGTGTTATAATCTACATAAAAATTTGTCTCATTGTAGTTTTATTTGCTTGCTTATTTTGAATAGGTAAAGTTCAGAATTCAAAAGATGTGAAAGCTTTGTAGGCTCTCTCTCACAACACCCATTTCACCTCCATAGGGGTAAAGATTTAACAGTTCTTATGTATCTTTCCAAAAGTACTTCAAAACTCTTACTTTAATAACTGTGACTGGTTATTTATATATTTACATACACACACACACACACACACACACACATATCATTAGAATTAAGCTTAATTTTTAAATATCCAACCTTTTTATTATTAAAAGTTTCAGAGCTATAGAAAAGTGAGTACAAAAAAAGGCAATATACAATGAACATCCACATATCCTTGTCCCACTGTCACCAATTTTTAACGTTTTGCCACATTTGCTTTCTCTTTCTCAAGCTTAATTTTTAGCATATGTGCTTCATGCTAAGCTAATACTTAAAAATAAACAAAACTTGGAAAATTGTTAAACTCAGAAATGGTGCCGCATACTTTCATATAATTTTGTAACTGAGTATATGTATAAAAGTATACACGTCTGTACTGTGTATTGATACTCCTATACCTATGTACTGTGTATTGATAGGTCATAGCATCAGGTTTTGTTTCATAATAAAATGAGCCCTTTGTTTCATTTTTCAGCAATTCTAATTTGAGAATGCAAACCTAGATGGCTCCTAAAGGTTTTACAGTATAAAAATGCCCATTATAAAGATATCAATTCTGGTTATTTCTAGTAAGACCCCTAGATGTGTTTGTTTTACTTAAAAAAAATAACATTCTCTACTTTGACAGAGTTGAGAAGAAAGAACGAGCCCGATTAAAAACAGTGAAATTCAATTCTAAAACGAGAGATAAAGGGGTGAGTATTTGAAATCTCTACATTTTCATAATTCCTGTTTGAGCTACATTGTTAAAATAAAAAGGATTTTGCTATAGGAATCAATCATGATCAGTTCTTGCCATGGTGCTTTACAATGGTAGATACTTAAGTAAGCATTTGTTAAATTAAAGCAACCATTTCACAGACCCTTCCAAATTATCAAAACTATCATTCAGTATATTATTAACGACATATTTTTGGTCAAGCTTATTTTTATAAATGAAATGTATTTGACCTTCATTCAACTTCCAATTAGAAATTTGTGGCCGGGCGTGGTGGCTCAAGCCTGTAATCCCAGCACTTTGGGAGGCCGAGACGGGCGGATCATGAGGTCAGGAGATCGAGACCATCCTGGCTAACATGATGAAACCCCATCTCTACTAAAAAAATACAAAAAACTAGCCAGGCGAGGTGGCGGGCACCTGTAGTCCCAGCTACTCAGGAGGCTGAGGCAGGAGAATGGCGTAAACCTGGGAGGCGAAGCTTGCAGTGAGCTGAGATTCGGCCACTGCACTCCAGCCTGGGCGACAGAGCGAGACTCCGTCTCAAAAAGAAATTTGTGTTACTAGGCCGGGCATGGTGGCTCACACCTATAATCCCAGCACTTTGGGAGGCCAAGTCAGGCAGATCACCTGAGGTTAGGAGTTCGAGACCAACCTGGCCAACATGGCAAAGCCAAAAATACAAAAATTAGCGGGGCGTCGTGGCGGGCATCTGTAATCCCAGCTACTCTGGAGGCTGAGTCACAAGAATCACTTGAATCCGGGAGGCAGAGCTTGCATTGAGCCAAGATCGCACCACTGCGCTCTAGCCTGGGCGACAGAGTGAGACTCTGTCTCAAAAAAGAAAAAGAAATTTGTGTTACTAGTGTTAATCATGGCAGATAATTTAATAATGACCCTGCTAAGAAAATAGGCATTTCAGAAATGCTAAGTCATAATCTTAAGTTTACAAGTTGTTGCAAGCAAATTTTTGGAAATTTTTTTGTTCTTTCCCCACATTTTTCCTGCTTTAATTTCTTAAGAGAATCTATGTTTTAAATGTTGGAATCAATATGAAATTTTATTTGGCAGAAACAAAGTGCTAGTCATGAGGAGAAGTTTGTAGATGATCAAGAAAATATCCATTAGCCAGGCTTGGTGGCATATGCCTATAGTCCCAGCTATTTGGGAGGCTGAGGCAGGATAATTGCTTGAGCACCAGAGGTCAAAGCTGCAATGAGCCATAATTGTGCCTCTGCACTCCAGCCTGGGCAGCAGAGGGAGATCCTGTCAAAAAAAAAAGAAAAAAAAAATATATCAAGGCTAGGCATGGCGGCTTACTCCTGTAACCCAGCACTTTAGGAGTCCAGGGTGGGAGGATCATTTGAGCCCAGGAGTTCAGTACCAGCCTGGGCAACATAGCGAGACCCAATCTCTGAAAAAAAATAATGTAAAAAATTAGCCAGGCGTGAAGGCTTGTACCTGTAGCCCCAGCTGCTCCCGTGACTGAAGTGGAAGGATTGCTTAAGCCCAGGACGTCCAGGCTGTAGTGAGCCATGATCATGCCACTGCTCTCCAGCCTGGGTGACACAGTGAGACCCTGTCTCAAAAAAAAAAAAAAGGAAAGAAATAGATCCCTTCTTTCATAATATATTTTAGAAGTGTATTTATTTTTCCTTCACTTTAAGTCTGCTTGCATCTAAATATTTGGGCTGTCAGTAGATGAGAAAGGGTACAGGCTTCATCCCATATTATGGATGTAATTGTTAATAATCCTGAACTCACTGCAGTGGAATATTCTAGCAGTAAGCCTGGAGACCAAACTGAATACATGTTATGTAAATACCATTTATAGCAATGTTTTATGTTTGGGGTTTTTTTTTTTTTGGATACTAAACAAAATTTTTTAATAAAAATTTTGATAATATTTGAAATGAATGTGGAATGTTAACTTAGCAAATAAATTTACTCTCTGAACATCTCTGGTATCACTAAGCACTCAGACTTAAAGCTTTAAAATTTAAAAGATGAGAAATATCTTTGGTTCAAGAAGTTAAATCTGAGAAAATTGTATGTTACATTCAGTTTTTTAGAAATGGTAAATTCCTTTAAAATTTACTTGTAGCTTTCAGAAAAATACCAAATTGTATAGTGTGACCTGAAGTAATATTAAAATAGAAATTTGTATTAGAGGAAAAATCCCAGGTAAATGCTCAGGATTTGAAAAATGTGAATTTTTTTGCGCTTGTTTTATGTATATCTTTTAAAATGATTTAGTACAATATACCATCAATAAATTGAAAAAGGTTGCATGTTGTAACTTTTCTTTCATACTGTAAGAAGTTAACTGAATTAACGACGTGTTTAAATCTTAGTCTTGTTTGTTGACTGTAACCAACTTTATACAGAGTCACTGTGTTCTAACACAGCACCAAAACTATGCATGATACTGAGTGGGGTAAAAATACGCTTGCCATTGATCAGAACTGCATTTCTTTCTATAATACCATTTCCTCCTCCTCCTCCTCCTCCTCCTCCTCCTCCTCCTTTCCTTACATAGTTCTAGTGATTCTGGACTTTATTTTTACTACAGACTTACAACATTTTAGTTTCTCACTAACATGTCTAACATTCATTTGGCTATTTTGAAATACTACATGTGGAAATTATGTATTTAGATATTTAATATATGTATCATGAATTTATGATATTTTATCAATTCTTATATTACACTGTCTCTCTTACAATACAGCGTTAATGACAGTAAGTATTAAATGTAGCACTTTTGATTGAAAATACAGAGAAACTGGAGGTAGCAAGTCTTCAGTTTTGTGTTTTCCCTACACATTTTTGTCTTGGTTGCTTGTGCTATTTTTTTCACCTTTAATAAGTTCTTCACCAGGAGGATATTAAATGTGATACAATTAATACATTTCTTAACTAACAAGCATTTCTCTCTATCCTATATTATGATATCTTTATGATATCTCATTTTGGCTAACCGCAAAGATAATAAGAATCAGACATTTTAAACTTCATGTTTCTTTTGGTGGTTTGCTGTGAAACTGACTCTGACCACTATAGATGCAGTAAGAGGGATGAATACACTTTTATAAAAAACACATCAGTTGTATCAGATATAAAAATTATTGCTAAATTCAAAACCATTGAGTCTTATGAACGAAAAGATTTAGTTTTTCCCTAAATTAGATTACCATAATTTTTTCTGCTAAAACACTTTCTCCTCTTTCTCCTTTCTAAAATTTGGATTTGAACAAAGATTTTTATTCAAATAATGCTACTTGACAGTTCATAAAATAGTTACAAGCCCAGATTTCCCCACAATACTTTTTCTGTTGATTGAATTTTTAACTTCTACTTAGAGTTCTTTTTTATCTAGTTCCTCAGAGCCTTCAAACTTTAAGATCGATTTCAAGACAGTCTGCTTGGCTAATGAACTGTGAACTTATTAATCCTGAATTAATTATATGAAAAGGTAAAAATGAAAGTTTAACCTTGTTTCTATAAAGATCTTTATCAGAATAAGTCTTCTCAAGTCATAGAATTTGAGCTAAAAGTCACTTTAATCCACTTCACTTTTTTTTTTTTTTTTTTTTTTTATTTGAAGAAAAGTTCTCACTCTGTCACCCAGGTTGGAATGCAATGGTGTGATCATAGCTCATTGTAGCCTCAAACTCCTGGGTTCAAGCGATCCTCCTGCCTCAGTCTTCTAAGTAGCTGAGACTACAGTCGCACACCCCCACTCCCAGCTAATTTTTTTGTTGTTGTTGAGATGGGATTTCGCCATGTTGCCTAGGCTGGTTTTGAACTCCTGGCCTCAAGCAGTCCTCCTGCCTTGGCCTACCAAAGTGCTGGGATTACAGATGTGAGCCACCGCACCTGGCTACTTCACCCTAATCACCTGGCATCGCATGCGTAAAATAAGGACGTGCTAAAAACACGCTGTTCATGTCAATACGCTTCAAAATAATGAAAAATGCAGCATCTTAAAATGTGTATAAACTCATAAAGATCAGAACAAAAAAATTCTATTCTTTATATTTTTCTCTTCCCCCTCCAAAAACTAATAATTCTTAGTGTTACTGGTAGGTAAACCTGTTTCCTTCCAAACATGAACGCCTATGACAGAGAAATAACAAATGAAGCCATTTCTCTTTGATAGCCTCATCATTCTTGTGCCACATACTCTTAAATATATGAATGTACAAATGGGATATTCAAGGAAAAACTTATTTCCAACATGTGTGCAATAAGAGACATCAGATCAATTGCTCAACTCCCACATTACAATTACATATAAACTGTTAGAATCTTAATTGCCTTGTGGCTTTGGTGGACACCAGACTTTTTATTCTCTGTGAAGGACGTGGTGCCAATGATTGGATGTGGTTCTATGTTATTTATGTATACTTTTTTAAATAAGTAGAGTAGAACTTAAGAATAAATAAGTCAGTACTGATAGCATTCACGTTGGTCAGGAGACTTCTGACTCTTCTTGCTTGGCTAGAGATGGCATTGATAAATCTCTTGCTGGACTCTGTGTGCTTGATGGGCCTTTTAGTTTTCTTCCCATTTTCTGGCTCATGAGCATTTAGTTACCTTTTATCCCCTTCCAAAAAAAAAAGTTGTTTGTTTTTAAATATTCAGCATTAGCAACTTTCTCATAATCATTTTGGTTTACTTTTTAAACAATGACTTTTCTGTTAGCTCATCATAGCCCAAAAAAAGAGATAAAGGAATAACTATGATCAGGCCAAAATAAAACGAAGATTACTTCCTAATGAATAAAACGTAATTGAGCAGCAAAGTAGCATTAAATATCTTTTGCTGTAGAGCACATAATACTTGGAAATTTTTCTGGAAAAATGTAGATTAGTATAAACAAATGTTAGCTTCGTTTGTACTGTAGTAGTAACTGATTTGCCTTTTTTTGTCAAGTAGCATTTTTATTTTTAGGTATAAATGAACTACGCTCTTTGAAATTCTTAAGTATTTTCAGTTGCAAAATGTTAGAATTTATTCAAAAGTAGAAATTCACTTTACATGAGATTAAAGTAAAAATCATATACAAACTGCACACTGTGGTCATAGGAGTCAGCTTCCACAGAGCTGCTAGGCTGGGCCTTTGTACACACAGACAGTAGACATCCCTTTGTTTTGCCCCTCCTTCTCTTCTTCAGCAGTCATTCAATGACAAGCGTAAAAAGAACCTCTTTTCCCGAAAATTCCCCTTCTACAAGAACAAGGACCAGAGTGAGCAGGAAACAAGTGATGCTGACCGTAAGTATGTGGATCCAGTGGTCAACTGAAAATAAAATGGAGAGGGACCTACTGCCCTGCAGTTGGTTGTTACCATGGAGACAGTTTCAAGAGCTGCAGCAGGTTGCTAATTGTCTTCAAGGGCAACTTAACAGATATAAATTAATTTGTATGCCTATCTTAACTTTTTCTGGCACCTTAGGAATTCTTAAAGCAAATATTATTTTCCAGTTATATGTTTATAATTTGAACATATAAATATGTATAAATCAATGCAATTATTTGAAGGAAAGATTTTTATGAAAAACACTTCACATTCATACATTCAAAGAATATTTTAGAGGAAGAACATGAATACATGAGAAGCTACCGTTGATTTCTAGGTATAACATTGCAAGTCTTTGATACTGGATTCTCTGGAATCATTCCATTTTATCCTATTTCTTCATTATATGTAGACCATCTGGATTTTACTTTTAAAATAGCAAGAAATGGTCTAAAATTTTGCTTCTCGCCCTGAATCAGCCTTCCTGCTAGGACTTTCATTCTTTTGGTAGATTACAGTTAGCAGCTAGCTCATTTCAAAGTTCTAGAAATCTGTAAAAATGCTCTGTAAGATAGATGTACCTGTAATGGTCTTGGAACTGTCTCCTACTGTAGCACCAATTTCATGCATTACTGACAACTATTTTCTTTGATTATCTTTTTATTGCTTGCTCTCTGGGGACTACCCTCTACAGGAGATCCCTGACGACATGGGATCAAAAGGCCTGAGTAAGTGATCAAAATACTCCCAAGTTATTTTTTAACCTCCGTCTACAGACCTACCTTATTCAGATACGTTTGGAGATTCATGGTAGTGCCTTTCTGGCATAAGGAGGTGTATGATTTAGATTGCTTTTAGAATTTGCATGTTTATCACATGCTTGGGACTTTTATCTCTGTAATACATAACTTTTTGTTTTTATTTTTGTTTTTCACATGTCATTTGAAAAATGCTCATAACTATATTTTCCTTTTTGTAATTTTTATGACAGTTACTTTTGCTAGGAACTTTTAAAATTTAAAAATTTTTAAGATTTTGTTAAGTGTACCCTCATTATTAGAATGTAGAAATATGCTTCCTTGGAGTTTTATGTTCCCCCTTTTTTTCTGTTAAAATAATCTAAAATTATTTTGATTATGTGTTAGAAAAGCATTGCTATAATATAAAAACATAAAACACAATAGAATACTATGCAAGTAGCAGTTTATTGAGGGGATAAGTTGTGTATCTCTTTTTTTTTTTTTTTGAGAAAGTTGTAAGTTACCACCAGAGTATAAGAACTATTTTGTTTTTCTTAGCTAAGATGTTGCCTTTGTTTTTGGTTTTTGTTGCTGCTGTTCTTGTTTAATTTTCTAGCTAGTTATTTAATCTTCATGTAAAGCTTCACACAGGTTCTAGTTTGTAGAAGTCATTCAATAAATGTTGGAATGAATGAATGAAGCAAGAAGCCATTTTAGCAAATAAAATTTTTAATTTGCGCGTGTTTTCAAATTGCTTAGCTATGAAAATTTACCAAACATTACTGAGTAACTTGAGGTTACAGTGACTCATAGAAGTAATCTTTTAATCTCATGTTTTCTAAATGGTTCTTTCTATTTATATTATTAAACATTTTGAAACTTCTTTGTTAACTCATTGATCATTAAGCATATAGCCAATATCTTCTAACTTTCTAAGACCTACATTAATAAGCATTAAATTTTACATGAGGCATTTTTCTGATTTATGCTAAGTTTATACTGGAATTTTAATCTAAACTGTAGGTACTTTTATTTCAACCGTAGTGATTTAAGTTTGTATTAGATTGAGGACAGTGTGTTTACGTACAACTCTTTCTGTTAGACACACTTTGTTATTTCTGCAGGTGCCTTTATAGGGTTTAGTAAGGACCACAGATTTCCTATCAGTAGTGGCACGCATTGTTTAATCTCTTACGTTTGGGGAAAATTATCCATGAAAACCTCTAAACCTGGAAGATACTGCCACAGTTGATGTGTGCAATCGAATTTGTTTTGAGATAACATACTTTAGAGGTGGTATGGATCAACAAATGGACCCATAGATTTTTCTTATCTGTTAAGTGAACAGAGACATAGGAAACTCTTAGAAAAAGAAACTAAATGAAGAATTTGGTTCCCATATTGATGTTACAATAGATGATAATTATACCTTGACCCTGTATCTCTGGTTCTAATTGAAGATTGGGACTTTGGAAGAGAAATAATATGAAAAATAGTAACTGATTATCAGACAACATTATTCAGAAAAATATTTTATTTTCTGGAGAGTGACCTAAGATCCCTTGAATAATAGATTTCTGTGCTTCATCTCACAGGAATTAAAAGAATTTATTCACCTGGTAACTTGATCATCAGATCAAGATTTTATTCAGAAAATGTTGGAGAAGACAGAAAAATATCAGTAAAATTCTAAAACTGGATATGATGGAGGTTATCACATAAAATAGATGACATAAGGCAGTTGACAAGGTGCCCATGATTATATAGTAGTAAATACTGGGAAGAAGGATGTGTTCAAGGACATTACGTGAGGCCTCAGTTGCTTATATTCTAAAGTTAAGAATATAGGGCATAAACTAAGCAAAATCTTGAGAGACTTTAATATAAGAAAATAAATGCAACTTAATATAGGTAGTCATCGGGCCTTACTGGAACAAAACTCAAAGAACCCCAAGCAGAGGTTAAGTTACTCCAGGGAACCCCACCTATTGAAGAGACACAGAATAACACTAGAATATCAAGAAAAAAATGTGTATCTGCTGTAAATTCATACAACCTATGAAAAATGGGGTATTTAATTGAAGAGCAGACAAACAGAAGTGATACCATAGAATGCTTTGTATAGACATGAATTCATTTGTTCTTTATTCTGAGAAGAAGAGAGTCAGGTAAATTATTTATTTGCCCTGTTGACAGTAGCAAAAACAGAGAAATTGTTTTATCAAACCTAATTTTGCTAAACAGAACTAATGAGAGTACAATGGAAGTTTGGGAGAATGCAACTAAATCATCATTTGTGAAAAGCTAGAAATAAAAGCCTGTGCAGCTTTTATGCTTTAAAGGAGGCAATTTTGAAAAAGCTCAAGGGACTAAAACTAGGTAAGATTCCTTTAACAGAGACTGAAAGGAAACATAACTCAATAAAAGATACATAAGGTACTCAGAAGTAAAATTATGACGTAAGATTTGAGACAAGGTTTGTTCTTATTACATGTAGCCTTTCCATTTTTGCAACTTTCCATTTTGTACAACACCTCAAAAATTTCCTCAGACACATAGGTTTCCTGCTACATATGTCTTTTCTTTCTTCTCATTTTAAAAACATACACATAGTTGTGCAGAGCTTGTAAATGCCAAAAACAGACTTATCTTCATTTGCATTACGAATAGGATGTAAGAGTAGTATCATTGCTTCAGATTGATGATGTAGTGTTAGAGGAGAGCCAGAAGAGAAACATGATATACTCTATCAGGAAGAAACGTTTGAGTACAATGATAAAACTCGGTTAGAGAGATTTGAAATAGATCTGTCCATCAAACATCATAATCAGTCTGGGCGCGGTGGCTCACGCCTGTAATCCCAGCACTTTGGGAGGCTGAGGCCAGCAGATCACCTGAGGTCAGGAATTCGAGACCAGCCTGGCCAACATGGCAAAACCCCGTCTCTACTAAAAGTACAAAAATTAGCCAGGCATGGTGGTGCACACCTGTAATCCAAGCTACTCAGGAGGCTGAGGCAGGAGAATCACTTGAAGCTGGGAGGTGAAGGTTGCAGTGAGCCGAGATCACGCCACTGCTGTCCTGCCTGGGTGACATAGCAAGACTCCGTCTTAAAAAAAAAAAAAAAAAAAAAAAAAGCTATCAGAAACAAAATAAAAATAAAAACTTGAAGAATGTGTTTGTACCATGTATGCCACAGGGATAATATCTTTACACTATTTAACAGGTAATAAGAAACAAGCTAGCTCTCCATTAGAAAGCTGGACAAGAGTGCTCAAAAGATAAGCAGATGAAATAAGCATATAAAAAATGTTTAATTCCTAGTAGTGATAAGCAAAATGATGTTTTACCTGTCACTTTGCAGACTTTTGTTTAAAAGGAAAACCTGTGACGAAGGGCGTTCTGCTAAATGCCTGCTTTTAATGTATCACAATTAAGAGTGTAAACCGGCACAGCCTTTGTGAAAAAGTACATCTTTTGACCCACTAAATACTCTTCAAAGAATTTATCCTAAGGATGTAATTAGAGATAGAGATAAAGCCTTATATATTAGAATGCTTATTATAATATTATTTAGTAATAGCAAAATAAAAAATTAAAACCGTGGCAAAATGCCTCACAATTAGGAAGTGCCTGATAAAGTATGATTTATCCATACTATGTAATATTCCATAACCATCAAAAATCATATTTAAAGATAATGACATGGGGAAATGCTCACTATATATGAAAAAAGTAAAATATGAAACTACACATATTGTCTCAGTCTTATAAATAAACATATGTTTGGAGCTATTTTAAATAGTGTTACTTTGAACATTCTTACGCATGTCTTGGGGTAAGCATATATATGCCTTTCTGTTGGGGAAATAGCTAGGAAAGGAATTGCTGGGTCATATAGAGACTTTTGTCCAGCCTTAGTAGATATTGCCAGTTTTCCCAAGTAGTTTTCCCAGTTGGCCCGTTCCTAGTACATGAACCCCCGTTGCTGCATATCGCTGTCGATGCTTGACGTTTCTGTTTTGTGTTTTCACTTGAGCCATTCTGGTGGATGGTAGAGACACCCTTTGTGGTTTTAATTTGCGTTTCCCTGACAAGTAATTAACTTGAACACTTTTCTGTATGTTTATTGGTTATTTGACTGTCTTCTTCGGGAAAATGCTTTTACAAGGAACATTTTCAATTATCAGAAGAAAAACATTTTATTTTTCTAGTAACATTCCAAACGATGATGATGCTGTTCCAAGGACCATACTTTGAGTAGTGAGGTTTTATTGTAGAAGAGCTAAGTAGGATGATATTTGAAAGAACTTGCAGAGTTTGATTGTTGTATAGCTTTTGGCAATCTTAGAGGGTTTAAGGTGAGTAGAAGAAATCCCAAAAAAACAGATAGTGAAGAGGTTTTGGTAGCTTAAACTTTTTATTATATAAATATCAGATACATTCAATAGTAGAAGAGTAGTAAAAATAAACCCTGCAAGTATTTGTTTATCCAGCTTTCATAATTGTCAACTGAAAATTTACCAATTCTGTTTCTTCTGTACTCCCACTTATACTCCCCTCCCTTCACCCCATTGCAATAACTAATTTTTCTTTAGTTTACAAACTAGAGATGGCAGAGGGTGATACCAATGCTAATATAAACAGAATAACTCTTTTTTTTAATATGGCGTGTTTCTGGGAATGAAATTTAAGGAAATAGGACAAAAAGTTAAAAGGTATATATAAATGAAGACATTCATAATTGTTGATACTTGTGAAAAACGATTTAAAGCAAATAAAAATATCTAAATAAGTAGCAAGGTAAATAATTTATCAATCTAATAGAATATTATACACCAATTTTAAAGTATTGCTATCAAGCCCATGTGGTGACATAGAAAGAAATATTTTAATATAAGCTTTTAAAAAACCTACCATTTGACCAGGTGCGGTGGCTCAAGCCTGTAATCCCAGCACTTTGGGAGGCCGAGTCAGGTGGATCTCCTGAGATCAGGAGTTCAAGACCAGCCTAACCAACATGGCGAAACCTGGTCTCTACTAAAAATACAAAAATTTGGGTGTGGTGGTGCACACCTGTAATCCCAGCTACTCAGGAGGCTGAGGCAGGAGAATAGCTTGAACCCGGGAGGCGGAGGTTGTAGAGAGCCGAGATCTTGCCACTGCACTCCAGCCTGGGGAACAGAGCAAGACTCCATCTCAAAAAAAAAGAAAAACCTACCATTTTACATGTGCTTACATATATTAGTGAATTCTTCTTGCAATTTTTAAAGTCCCTGCTTTATTTAAAATGTATGTAATCATGATTAAGAAAGTTATATCTTGTCTTTGAAAGTTAGAATAACAGACTTATTTTTCATTATGATAGCAGTTCAAAAATCTTATTTAATTTGAAATCTTAAGTTCAACCATTCACTGTTTTAATAGTGATACTTGATTTTAGGAGACTCTGTGAGTGGTATGGTATAGCAGATACTTATCTTCAAACTTTTTTCTTTTTTGTTTTTGTTTCTTAGGGACAGGATCTCCACACTGTCACTCACGCTGGAGTGCGGTGGTATGTTAATAGCTCACTGCAGCCTGGAACCCTTTGGCTTGAGTGGTCTTCCCACCTTAACCTCCTGAATAGCTAGAATTACAGGCATGCACCACCAAGCCCAGCACTTTTTTATTTTTCCCCAGACAGTGTCTCTCCATGTTACCCAAGCTGATCTCGAACTCCTGGTCTTAAGTGATCCTCCTGCCTCACCTTCACAAAGTGCTGGGATTACAGGCGTGTGCCACCATGCCCAGCCTCAAACTTTTTTTTACCTTAAAAAATTTTATTTCCACCCAGGCGCAGTGGCTCATGCCTGTAATCTCAGCACTTTGGGAGGCCAAGGCAGACGGATCACTTGATCTCAGGAGTTCAGTATCAGCCTGGCCAACATGGTGAAACCAGTCTCTACTAAAAATAGAACAATTAGCTGAGCATGGTGCTATACACCTGTAGTGCCAGGTACTCGGGTGTCTGAGACACAAGAATTGAATTGCTTAAACCTAGGAGGCAGAGGTTGCAGTGAGCTGAGATCGTGCCACTGCACTCCAACCTGGGCAACAAAGGGAGACTGTCTCAAAAAAAGAGACTGTCTCAGAAAAAAGAAAAAAAGAAATTTCCAGCTGTGTGGTGTGGTGGTTCACACCTGTAATCCCAGCACTTTGGAAAGCTGAAATGGGAGGATCCCTTGAGGCCTGGAGTTTGAGACCAGTCTGGGCAACATGGTTGAGACTTGTCTCTCTTATTTAAAAAACAAAATTTTAGCAGGGCATGGTGGTACATACCTGAAGTCCCAGCCACTCTGGGCTAAGATGGGAGGATCACAGAAGCCCAGGAGAGGAGGTGGAGGCTGCAGTGAGCTATAGTCATACCACTGCACTCCTACCTGAGCAACAGAGTGAAGCCCTGTCCCTTTAATTAAAAAAAAAAAAAAGTTAAAATAAAAATGTCAGTTTCCCTGTCTCGTTGAAAGTTTTATTTTTATTTTTTAGAAATAAATCTATTAGTCTTTGTTTAATGCAAGGGGGATATTTATTGAGAGAATACTTGAGATCACATTTACATGGATGAGGAGCGTGCCTGTGGTTTACTAAGCAATGAAGTCGTGAAACGGGTCACCTTTAAGGAGGGGACAGGCAGTTTTTGGCTGGGTGTTTGTTTTCATTGTCTTTTTTATGTTTTGCAAAGCAGCCACTGTCAGTCTTATCAAAGCAGAGTTTCTAAGAAATATTAGTTGGTTTTAAAATGCAGTACCACCATTGGTGCATTCCCTTCCAGCCGAGACATTTGAATTTATGACTTCTAAAATCCTTTATCTGTATGATCTCAGAAACATGGATTTTCATCTTCAGAAACAGGAGCGAAGCTGGACTGAAAATAAGATGATCTCTTTATTTTTAATTACAAAGACATCCCTTCATTAAAATGGGCATCTATCTGCTTAAATAGTTTGTCCCCTTTGCCAGTTCCTGCCGTTTCAAAAACTGAAATAGTGCCAACTATTTTCTCCATTGGGTTTTATGTCTACATTTGGACTAATTCAGGATCACTTTGCCCTTTTGACATATTCTAGTTGCTATTTATAATAGATTTGTTCAGAAACTGTGTTGTACAAAAATAAGACATTGTCCTTAATTACAGGTGTTTTCCTTTGCTAATATTTATTATATGAAAAAAATAATATTTTTAAAGAAAATAAAAAATGCTTTTAAAAAATAATTTTGTTATATATGGCTTATATCACAACATTTTATTTTGATTATTTGCTTTTTAAACTCATGACACTGTTTTCTTTACTTTTTTTCATTGTCCTGCAATTTCAGAGCATGTAACTTCTAATGCCAGCGATAGTGAAAGTAGTTACCGTAAGTGTCTTAAGTTACTTGTTCTTTTGTAATCTCGAGTAATACATCCTCTGTGGGGGTGGAGGGATTCTTAGTGATACGTTCTAAAAACTTAAAGTTATATGATCTTTATTTTAAAATCAGGGAGAGACAAGTAAAATTCTGTACTTGAAAAATAAAATCATACTATATATGTAGAGGTTAATTTATAAAATTTTAATAAAATACTAAAAACAGTTTAGTATTATTTGTGTACATGATACATATGTGTATGTATTTTTTATAAGAAGCAAATAGTTAAATGAGGGAAAACTTGTATTTTGACATTCTGTTTAATAATTCTGTTTTTAACATGAGCACTAAAACAGTATTTTTCAGTAATGCTAAATTATCATTAGCTTTATTTCCTTTTTTATTCTTTGTCATCGATACTGATCTGGGTCAAGTTATTGTTTATCATCAGCACTTGGTGAACAGAAGAAATAAGGGAACATTTTCAGTGATCACCTGAAAAATAATACTAACTTCTCTTTTGCTGTTTTGTATTATATGCTTGGTTTTATTAAGTGAACTGCACAAGCATGTGATGTTTTAAACAGACTTGGGGCATGGGAGAAGGGGAGGGTACATAATATCAGTTGTAGCACCTTAAAAATTAAAATTGCTTTTCTAACTTTCTTTTTTTACTGCTGTCTAATATGAAAGTAATCTTGATTACAGATGAGTATGGCTGCTCAAAAGGTCCATCCTGTTAATATCAGTCCCTAATACTTTTTCATGTTGACAGTATATACTTTTAACCGTCATTCATTTGGTTGATTATTTTTCTACATAGTAGTTACTTAATGATTTTTTTTGGTGTAGAAATGATTTCCTGTATTTCAGCATTTTATTGCTTATAACCAGAACCCACTATAGGGTAGTTGAGTGGCTTTCTAGGCTAAAAAGAGGTAATGAAAGTATATACTGTCTGTCTTACCATTTGCATGAATTATTAAGGTGTGAAATATTCAAATTGCATGTGTTTGCTAGTATGTAAGCCATGTTTTACATCCAGTACTTTAAAAAAACAGCTTATAAAATACCAGTTTTATATACTTTGATAATAAAATTGAAAACAAATAAATACACACTTTTAAAGCAGAAAAGAATGTTTATGCCAATGTATGGATTTAAAAGACCTACAGCTACATACATATAATATAAACCAATCGCAAAATTCATGGTAAAATTGTTATAGAATCTTGAAATTAAAGAGAAGATCTTCAAATACATTATCCAATATTGATTGCTTTCATTGAACCACTTGAGTTAACATAGTCTTTTCTAATTTTCGGTGTGGGGTGAGGGGGGCGTGTGTTATTTTAAAACTAGAGGTTTTGGCCGGGCATGGTGGTTCATGCCTATAATCCCAGCACTTTGGGAGGCCAGGGCGGGCAGATCACCTGAGGTCGGGAGTTCAAGACCAGCCTAACACAGAGAAACCCCCTCTCTACTAAAAATACAAAATTAGCTGGGCGTGATGGCGCACGCCTAATCCCAGCTACTCGGGAGGCTGAGGCAGGAGAACCGCTTGAACCCGGGAGGTGGAGGTTGCCGTGAGCTGAGATCGCACCATTGCACACCAGCCTGGCAACAACAGCAAAACTCCGTCTCAAAAAAAAAAAAAAAAACTCTTAGAGTTTTTAACTCTTTTTATTTCTTTACACTGAATTCAGATATAATTTGTAGACTCTTTCATTTAGAATATTTCCTAAGCTCTGAACCTTTGATTTAACCTTTAGAAGCTTTAACTTCTTGTGCTTTTAAGGTCAAAGCGAATATATTTATCTCCTTTACTATCACTGTGGTTTATTTTATTGGAAGGATTTAGTTTTATCTAAAGCTCTTTTTGACTCACATTAAATTTATTATTTTTTACAAAGTTGAGTTAGTGAATTTTTTCATCAGTGAAATAGTAACAGTAGTTTTACCTTTGCATTTATAATTTTTAATTTTACAATGTAATTATTTTAAAAATAAAATATACTGTATTCAATATTATAGTTGGTGGAACTAAAAATGTAGCATGTTTTTAATAGTAACAAGTTACCTAATGTGTAGATAGATAGATAGATAGATAGATAAACTGCTCATTAAAGCATTAATCTTTAACAGATTTAATATTTCTTAGATTCTAAGTAAATATTTCTTAGATTCTAAGTAAACATAGCATCACAAATGAAGATTTTTAGATTTGATTATCTATAAAATATAATATTGATTAAATAGCCCATTTGTATTTTGTTTTACATTTAGCAAACTCACTTTTATGACTTTATAATTTACCCCCATTTTTTTTTTTTTTTTTTTTTTTTTTTTTTTTACTAAATCTTGCCATAAAGTACCTTTGCATATCTTTGCCATTTTCTCAGGAAAGTTGTAGTAATGTCTAACGTTGTTCATGAAGAATTAGATGAGCATCAATTACCTTGACACATTTTTCATCTGTGCCTTCACTTTCTAATAGGTGGTCAAGAAGAATACGTCTTATCTTATGAACCAGTGAACCAACAAGAAGGTTTGTGAAGACTATTGATGTTTTAATTTGGGGGAAAAAAGTAATACCCCCAAAAAATGTTATATTAGAATTTTTTTTTACTACATTTATATGCAGAAACTTACTACATGTGTTTATGAAACATAGGTTACTCCACAGTATATTAGAATCTAGTCATTTCATATTGACTTTTATATTTGTGTTTTATTTCCTAAGCAACTTCGTTCCAGTGTTCTTGTTAGCATCACTATCTTCCAAATAACCCTTTTTTGAAAATCTTGGAAGCATCTTTGAGCCTTCTCCGTTCCTCCTCCTCCTCATCCAGTTAGGTTCCAGGCACTGTTTATTCTACTTCTTTCTTATTTATGACCTTCTTTTCATCCCTTCTCTCACAGTGTCAGTTCTCAGTCTCACTACCAATCTCCATTCTTCCAGCATGATCCCATACAACCCGGAGTTCATACTTCTGTTAGATCATCTTTTTAGAACACTACTACTGGGACTATATCACTTCCCACATCCAATTTCTTTTCTGCCCTTCTTTGCTCTGCTTCCTTACAATTTCTACTTCAGAGCCATCTGTAAAACACTATACTTTATGCTTTGATTTGCAATGTAAAGAAACATTATCTGCTAACATACCAAATTTAACTTGGTTGATTTATCAATATGACTTCTAACAAGACTGAGCAGAGTTCAAGATCTTAGTCAAGATTATAAAAGAGCAAGTTATGCATCTTTGGTTGATGGTAGAGTGAGATGGAGAAAGAAGAAAAAAAATATTTAAAACAGTTAAGGATATTTTTGTTGTGTGGTGAAATAAAATACATTGGTATTTGCTGACTGTTCATTCCTTTTAACGTGCAGTTTATCTTTATAGTTAATTACACTCGGCCAGTGATCATACTGGGACCCATGAAAGACCGGGTCAATGACGACTTGATCTCAGAATTTCCCGACAAATTTGGATCCTGTGTCCCTCGTGAGTAAACCAGACAAAAACATTTCATTGTTACTCTTAACAATGCCTGTCACTGTGTGTGGGAAAAACAGGTAGAACCATTTTTTAACGGTTTATACCTATTTTATCAGTCACTCTTCCATCCTCCATATTATTGTCCTTTCTCAGATTTAAATTAATCTGTTGAACTTTACAAAACAATGATATAAGGAGAAAATGGATTTATTGTGGGGTTTTTTTTAATATTAAACACTTCCCCAAGTTTTTTTCTGTTAAAGATACAACTAGACCAAAACGAGATTATGAGGTAGACGGAAGAGATTATCATTTTGTGACTTCAAGAGAGCAGATGGAGAAAGACATCCAGGAACATAAATTCATTGAAGCTGGCCAGTATAACAATCATCTATATGGAACAAGTGTTCAGTCTGTGCGAGAAGTAGCAGAAAAGGTAAGCATCAGACTAATCCCAGAATGTAGCTTCTAATCAGATGTGCCTTTGACAATATGAAAGAGTGGTAGGATAGATACAGCATTAATTAGTTTTATTAACGTAATGTATTTGCTTACCTACATGATTAATTTTTGGTGGCTCAGGAAAGTGCATACAAGATAAAACAAGTAAATAAGGTAGACAAAGAAAGTGAAAATAGAAATGGTAGCATGAATATAAGAGGAGAAGTTATTTTAAGGTCATTTGCTAGAGATAGACCTTTTGTTTAACTTAAACCTAGCCCTCCAGCATATATTATAAGGAGATAAGGGCCAGGTATGGCAGCACACCCTTATAGTCCTAGCTACTAAGAAGGCTGAGTTGAGAGGATCACTTAAGCCTGGGAATTTGAGGCTGCAGCGAGCTATGATCATGCCACTGAACTCCAGCCTGGGCAACAGAACAAGACCCTGGCTCTTAAAAAAAAAAACAAAGAAAAGAAAAAGATCAATAAATCTAACCACTTAAAATTTTTAAAAACTTTTTTTATGGCCAAAGAACTTTTCCAAAAACTATTAGAAAACACCATTAACAATATCAAAAGACAACTGACAGAAAAAATTTGCAAGAAGAAAAGGACTAATATTCCCAATATATAAAGAACTCATAAAAACAGGGAATAGAGACCAGAAACCCAATAGGGGGAAAAAAAATGGACAAAAGATGAGAATACATAGTTCGCACAAAAATAAGATATAAAAATGGCCTTTGTACATAGGATATGATGTCCTACCATTTCAAATGAATAACTACATTGAAGAGGGGAGAACTCTTAATCCCAGAGATTCTTTAACACAAGCTGAAGACAGATCTGTAAACAAAATAAAATTCTAATTAGTAGGTTTGTTGGGTGGAGTGTATGGTCTTACAGTTCTGAAACTAATATATATTCTAGGGTTGAGCAAATAAACTAATATAATGACAGTAGTGGGAGTGAGGTTTGACTGTCAGAAAAAGGGAGAGGATAAAATGAACTCTGATAATTGGATTGGAGATATTAGATAATTAGAGCTATGAATATGAACCCATGAATTGTAGTAGAGTAGATCTAGAAAGATGTGTATTTACATATACACACACGTATGCTTATTTGCTCTATCCACTAAGAAGACCTAAAAATAACCCTGAATAAGCCATGAGAATATCTGGTGCCCAGGTCTTGGCTTCTAAATATAATTCGTTAATTGAAAGATCAGGACTCCTTTGAGAAATGGCTGATTCTGGGGCCAGGACTGGAAAAGTGCAAGATGAGCCTGTAACTTTTTTGCTGCCAGAAAAACAAGGGAGCAGTCCACGAGTGATGAGGGTGTGTAAAAAGGCAAGGAACCAAGCTGTGGGGTCCCCCACTGGCCAAGTCTGAGATAATTTGAATATCAAGATAAATGAGAATCACAGATTATAATATATAGAGTAAAATTAAAATCCTAGACTCCATAATGAAACAAACACAGATGGCCCCCAACTTAGAATGGTTCAGCTTTACAGAGGCGCACAAGCGATGCATGCTCAGCAGCAGCCGTACTTCAAGTGCCCCTACGGCCTTTCTGTTTTTCACTTGGAGTACAGGACTCGGTGAATTACATGAAAAGTTCAGCACTTATTATAAAACAGGTGTGTTGGATGATTTTGTCTGACTGTAGAGTAAGTGTTCTGAGCACAGTTAAGGTAATCTAGGCTAAGCTATGATGTTCAGTAGGGTAGGTATATTAGACGCATTTTCAATTTATAGTATTTTCAACTTGTGATGGGTTTATTGGGACGTAACTCCCATCATAAGTCAAGGAGCATCTGTATATGAGTAAATAAGTGGATAGAAGGGAACGCTTTGGACTGTCTACTAATCAAGGTAGAAGAAATGATTAGAAAATCTTTTGAAAACTGCATGGTAATAATTGTTTCAGGCAAAAACTATCAGTGTATTCTAAAATTAGTGAACATTTGATGAAAAATGGGATATCTATATAGTCTCAAAGTGTCCTCCCCCAAAATACTTATCAGTTACAAAGGGAAAAGTAATAATTTTACAGTGGAGAAACCTAGCAGATAAAACCTTAAACAAGTGATCAAAATTAGCATCACTACCAGTGAGACAAATAGATATAATATCACCTCCCAGATATGATGGACTGAGAAGGACACACATTATATCTGTGGTATTCCTGCCAAAAATGTGTAACCTGCCATCCGAGAGTGAGGAAACACACAAACCCAGGTTGAGGCATATTCTATGACATAATATTTTGTACTCTTCAAAAACATCAAGATCAAGAAAGACCAAGACTGAGGAATTGTGTCAGATTGACGGAGACTAAGGAGGCTTTACAGCTAAACACAATGTGTGATCCTATGATCCTGAATTGGATCCTGGGCCAGGAAATTTTTTTTTTCTTTTCCAATAAGGAACATTAGATGGCCACTTGGAATCATATTGTGATTATATAAGAGATGCCATTGTTTTTAAGAAATACGAGGTAAAGGAGCATTATGCAGTTTTTTCTCAAACTATTATGTACATATATAGAAAGAGCTAAAGCAAACATAGAATATTAATATTTCAGTATCAAGTTACTAAAATGTTTAAGCAATAATGTAAAATATATCTGATAAAAGTAGATAATGGATACATAGTGTCTGTTATTTACTTTTCTATATGTTTGGAGTATTTTACAGTATTAAACTGGTTATTTTAAGTGTGCCCACCAAATGGAAATTATCATGTATTGACTTGGACTCAAGTCCTTGGGTTAGAAGTTGCATTATGGGGCCAAGTGTGGTGGCTCACGCCTATAATCCGAGCACTTTGGGAGGCCGAGGTGGGTGGATCACTTGAGGTTGCGAATTTGAGACCAGCCTGACCAACATGGTGAAACCCCATCTGTACAAAAAACACAAAAATTAGCTGGGTGTGGTGGCGCACACCTGTTATCCCAGCTACTGGGGAGGCTGAAGCAGGAGAATTGCTCGAACCCAAGAAGCAGAAGTTGGAATAAGCCGAGATCGTACCACTGCACTCAAGTCTGGGTGACAGAACAAGACTTCGTCTCAAAAACAAACAAAAAACTGAAGTTGCGTTATGGGGGAGGGCCTGATTTCAAATGTATTACAAGCAAATCTGTCATAAATAATAACTACTACTCTGCTTACCATGGAAATGCCCATCTGTATTAAAAACCTAAGTATCCTTTGTCAGTGAGTTTAAACCTGTCAGAAAAGTTGTCATTTAAATCCAGAATTGGGTCCCATATGCTAGTTTATGAGTTTTTGTCTGTCCCTAGTAAAATGAGAAATAGAAGGATTGAGTAGTGGTAATGAGGTTTCACACATTTGTTTATTTAAAAGGTTTGCCCTTACTCTAGGATTTTTTCTTTTATGAAATGATAGCTATGGGGAGATGGTAGTTTGGGGTCTTTATGAATACTTTTTCTTGGCAGAATGAAAAATAGGAACCTGGGCCTGGCACAGTGGCTCATGCCTATAATCCCAGCACTTCCGGAGGCTGCGGTGAGATTATCACTTGAGCCCCAGGAGTTCAAGACCAGCCTAGTCAACAGAACAAGACCCCGTCTCTTAAATTTAAAAAAAAGAAAAGAGACAGGGGGGAGCTCTGGTTTTCACCATTTTGAGAAATTACTGATCTGTGAAAACTAGGAACTGTATTCTCATTCCTTTTTAAATATAACATTTGTTTGAAAATGGCAAATTAATTATGCATAATCATTTCATTTCCTATCATGTTTGCTGAGAGAAGTGACAAGTTTGCTTAAAGTGAACAAGGATCCAGACATACCACGATTTAGACTCTGGGCCTGTGGGAAATGTACCTTTGATATTATTGAGAATATTTGGTTCACTTGTTTTTTTTTCTTTTTTCCTTTTATTTTAGGGCAAACACTGTATCCTTGATGTGTCTGGAAATGCCATAAAGAGATTACAGATTGCACAGCTTTACCCTATCTCCATTTTTATTAAACCCAAATCCATGGAAAATATCATGTAAGTGTAAATGCCTGAGGCATAGCCTCTGTGTACAAATTCAGTCACTGTAGGGTAATTTATTTACTCTCCCTGCATCTCAGTTTCTATATCTATAAAACTGAGATATAGTAGTATATATATTCACCTCAGATTATGTGGTGAGGATTAAATAAGCACTATGGGTTTTAAATTGTCGTTGTAATCATCATCATTAATATTACTAAAGTTATAAGGTAACGTGTTAGAACTTTAAATACCTCCATGTGGCTAGTGGCTACTGAAGTATGCAGCACAGCTCTCGGGTAACCATTAAGAGAATAGAAGAATGTGTAACCATTATGTAATACTTTTGGGGGACAAAAAAATAGAATCTAAGTAAAAATTAAGAAGGAGCAAATAGAAACATAGAACAAGTGAGGCAAAACCATATAAATAGTAAGATGGTATAAACTAAGGCAAATATTAGACTACTGGACTAAATGTTCCAATTAAAAGACAAGGATTGTCAGAATGGGTGAAGAAAAAAGTAAATTATATGTTGCTTTCATCAGACACACCTTAAAAATTAGGCTATGGGAAGGTTGAAAGTAAGAGAAAAAGCTATACCATGCTAAACTAGGCCGATTTTTATATTGCTGACGAAGTATACTTTAAGGCAAGAAGTACTACTTGCCTTAAGAGTGACATTTCATAAAAGTAAAAGATTCACTCCAGCAGGAGGATCTGTTCATACATTTGTTTGCACTTAATAGCATTCTCAAAACATAAAAAGTACAAATTGACAGCTTCATAAGTGCGAAAAGGTAATTCCAGAATCATCGAGAGGGAACCTAACATACCTGTGAGGAAGCAATTAAATAAGAAAACAAATATAAAAAATCAGTGAAGGCACAGAATAACACAAATTAAAAACTTTACCTACTTGACATATGTTAAACACTGCACTCACCATCTGCAGAATACACATGGATTTCCAGTGTACATGAAACAATTACCAAAACTCATCATTTGCTGGATTACAGATTTCAAATGATAGAAAACAAATACTTTCTGACTATAATGCAATTTAAATGGAAACCAATAACTAAAAGATAACTAGAAAATTCTCATATATTTGGAAATTAAGCATTATACTTCTGAGTGAGTCAAAGAAGAAATCACAGAATAAATTAATGTTTTGAACTAAATAGTAATGAATTGCCAAGTAATGAGTTTGGAGGCTTTCATAGCTTTGTTGAAGGAATACACACAGCTTTAAATGTTAGGAAAGAATGTTGAAAATCAAATATTAGGAAAGTTGAAAATCTAAGATTTTGAGAAATTGAAAAAATATCAGTCAAACTCAAAATTATAGAAGGTGGGACACAGTGGCCAGCCCCTATAATCCCAACACTTCAGGAGGCCTAGGTGGGCGGATTGCTTGAGTTCAGGAGTTCAAGACCAGCCTGGGCAACATGGTGAGACTCTGTCTCTACTAAAAATACAAAAAAATAGCCAGGCATGGTGGTGTGCGCCTGTCGTCCTAGCTGCTTGGGAGGCTGAGATGGGGGGATTGCTTGAGCACAGGGAGTGGAGGTTGCAGCGAGCCAAGATCATGCCATTGTACTCCAACCTGGTGACAGAGCAAGACCCTGTCCCAAGTCAAAAAAAGAAGAAAACAGTATTAAAAAAATTTAAAAATAAAAAATATGGCAGAGCAGAAATTAATGAAATAGAAAACAAACATAAAAGAGGATCAACAAAGCCAAAAGTGTTCTCTTTGAAAAGACAGTAAACCACTAGGAGTGATCAAGAAAAGAAAGAAGGCACATCAATATGAATATCAGGCATGAAAAAGAGGATATGACTCCACATGCAGCAGACATCAGAGAGATTGACAGAGTCAGCCCAACAGGAAAAAGGACAAAGGGCTTGGACACATCACAAAAGAGAACCTCCAAATAATAAGCATGTGAGATAGTGCCCAATTAATTATGGAAATACAAGTTAAACCCTGATGTCTTATACTACCACCCACATACCAGAATAGTTAAAATGAAAAAGACAGAAAATATTTAATGCCGGCAAGGATGTGGAGCAACTGAAACTCATAACAATGTTAGGGGTGCAAATTGGTGCATCTTCATTGGTAAACTGTTTATAGTATCATAATGTCTCCTAAAGCTGAACATACACATTAGTTATGACCCAGAAGTCATATTCTTAGATACACACTCAACAGAAATGCTTACATGTGTTTACAAAGACATGTACAAGAGTGATGACAGTACTGTTCAAGTATTCAGCAGCTGTCAGGTGCAGTAGCTCACACCTGTAATCCCAACACTTTGGGAGCCCAAGACAGAAGGATTCCTTGAGGTCAGGAGTTGGAGACCAGCCTGAGCAACATAGCACTACCCTGTCTCTACAAAAAACTTTAAAGGTAGCTGGATGTGATGGTGCATTCCTATAATCCCAGCTACTCAGGAGGCTGAAGCAGGAGGATCCCTTGAGCCCAGGAGTTCGATCAAGGCTGTAGTGAGCTATGCTTGCACCACTGCACTCCAGCCTTGGTGACAGAGTGAGACCCTGTCTTTAAAAAAAAAAAAAAAAAAAAACAGAGTCAAATACTGTCAGCAGTAGAATATGTAAATAAATTATGACATATTCACAACGAAACATTGTATGATAATGAGTGAGAGTGAGCAGTCTCCCGCCACATACAAAAGTATGGAAGAATCTCACAAGTACGATTTGAGTTAAAAACAAAAACCCCAACCTAAAGATATACATACTCTATGATTCCAAATTTAATAATTGCTTGTAGAAGTCAAACAGAGGTTACCCTGTGAAAAGGAGCTGGTGACTAGAGTGAGCACACCCCGATTCTGGGGTACTAGTGATGTTCTGTGTCTTGACCTAAGTACACAGGTACATGTAAATTTGTGAAAATGTAATAAGCAGAATGATACGATTTTTCTGATATTGCTCATCTGTGTTTGAAACATATACTTCAGAAAATGTTAAGGAAAAAATAGAAAGGGAAAAGAGAAATAGAAAACCTAAATAATCTAGTACTTATTAAAGACTTGAACCGATCATAAAAAACCTTTCCACAAATTAAATACTAAGCCTAGAGGACTTACTAAATTCTACCAAAAGCTAAGAAGCTATGTCAATTGTATACAAACTCTTCAACTAATTTATGAGCATTAATTTGATACCCAAAGCTGGAAAGGACTATATAGGAAAGGAAAATGATAAAGCCAGTCTTAATTATGACTATAGATGCAAGAACCCTTACCAAAATAGGAGCAAATTGAATCAAACAATTTTTTTAATAAGGCAAAATATAACAACCAAGTTGGGTATGTTCCTGGTATGCAACACTGCTTTAACATTTAAAAACTAATCAATTATGGAGCTAGAGGGAAGATGGAAGAGTAGGAAGCTCTGGGAATCTGTCTCCCCACCCAGACAACAACTGCACTGGCAGAATCTGTCTGATGTTACTATTTTGGAACTCTGTTCACCATTTTTATCGGTTTTGGAACTCTGAAGTCTATTGAAGGCTTATAACTTCCAGGGGAAGGTTTGAAAGGTTAATTTCAGCTCTTAACATGGTAGCAACTACCTATTCCTCTACCCTCAGCCCCATAGCATGTAGCCGTGCACACATTTTCAAGCGGCTTTGCATAGGGTTTGTGGGAGCCAGTGTGGACAATAAGGATTCTGTCTTCCAAATAGCAGGGATCTTTGCTGTGATAGCTAATTATTGCTTCTGATCATGGAGGTGCGGCCATACAGCCATAAAGTGAGCCATTGTTGCAGACCCCACTGCCACTGTTACAAGCCTGGAAGCACTGGAGGCTGAAGTGACTTTTAAAGATTTAAAGGGCCATTGCCTTCAGTGGTGATTAGTGAGGAGAAAGAAAAAAAAAATCAAATGAAAACAAAGGGCTAGTGCCTCCCCCTTCCACCCGCACTACACACACACGCACACACACACACACCTTTTTTCTTGCCCCCCTTTTGGGGGCCAGACCTGGACATTCAAAAGTAACCATGTATGTGAGGGGAGATTTTCATATTCATGGAAAATCACAGGCTTAGAAAATACCTGAAAAGACTGGCTGATTCCTGGTACAGAAACACCTTGCAACAGTAAACAATAAAATTAAATTTTAAATAAAACAGCAAACCCTAGGAAAGGAAAAGAATGTGATCTCCAGAGTTACCACATTGTAAGAGTTAAATGTGCAGTTTCCAACAAAAAATCACAAGACATACAAAGAAACAGGAAAATATAGCCCATTCAAAGGAAAAATAAACTATCCCTGCAGAAGACTATCCTTGAGAAAGAGTTAGACTAAGACTGTAAAACAAGATGCTAAATGAGCTATAAGACATGGACAAAGTCTCAAGAAAATGATAGGCCCAGCGCAGTGGCTCATGCCTGTGATTCTAGCACTTAGAAGGCTGAGACGAACCACCTGAACTCAGTGGTTCGAGACTAGCCTGGGCAACATAGTGAGACCTTGCCTCTACAAAAAGCAAAAATTGGCCGGGCGCGGTGGCTCATGCCTGTAACCCCAGCACTTTGGGAGGCCGAGGCAGGCAGAACACCTGAGGTCAGGAGTTCGAGACCAGCGTGGGCAACATAGTGAAACCCCATCTCTACTAAAAATGCAAAAATTAGCTGGGCGTGGTGGTGGGCATCTGTAATCCCAGCTACTTGGGAGGCTGAGGCACGAGACTCGCTTGAACCCAGGAGGCGGAGGTTGCAGTGAGTGGAGACCATACCATTGCACCCCAGCCTGGGCAACAAGAGCAAAACTCCATCTCAGAAGAATAAAAATAAACAAAAATTAGCTGGCCATGGTGGCACGAGCCTCTGGTCCCAGCTGCATGCGAAGCTGAGGTGGGAGGATCTCTTGAGCCTGGGAGGTCAAGGCTGCAGTGAGCCAAGATCATGCCACTGCACTCCAGCCTGAGCAACAGAGGGAGACCTTGTCTCCAAAAAGACAAAGGAAAAAAAGATGAAAAAGATATGTGAACAAAATGGAAATATCAACAAAGAAATAAAAAACGTAAAAAGAAACCAAAAGGAAATTCTGGAACTAAAAATAACTGAAATGGAAAATTCACTACAGGGATTCAGGGAGATTTAAGCAGACAGAAGAAAGTGTCAACAAATTTAACTTGAAGATACAACAATGGAAATTATTTAGTCTGAAAAACAGAGAAATGATTGAAGAAAAGGGCCTATAAGACACCATCAAGCAGTCAACTCACACATTATGGGGGTCCTGGAGGAGAACAGAGAGGGGAAGGGCAGAGAGATTGAAGAAATAATGGCCAAAAACATCCCATGTTTGATGAAAGACACGAATATAATCCAAGAAAATCAAGGAACTCGAAGCAGGATAAACTTAGATACCCACACGGTGGCACATTATAATCAAACTGTCAGAATATGGAGAGAATCTTGAAAGCAGCAACTTATCACACACAGGGGATTTCCCAATAAGATTATCAGTCGATGTTTTTGTTTGTTTTTTGAGACAAGGTCTCTGTTTGTCACCCAGGCTGGAGTGCAGTGGCTTACTGCTTACACAGGTTACTGCTGCCTTAACTTCCTGGGCTCAGGCAGCCTCTCACTTCAGCCTCCCTAGTAGCTGGGGCTGCAGACGTGCACCACCACGCCTGGCCAATTTTTGTATTTTTTATGGAGACAGGGTTTTGCCATGTTTCCCAGGCTGGTCTCAAACTCCTGAGCGCAAGTGATCCACCCACCTCAGCCTTCCAAAGTGCTGGGATTACAGGTGTAAGTAAATATCCACCAGGCCCAGCCATCAGCAGATTTTTTTTTTTTTTTTTTTTTTGGAGACAGGGTCTACTCTGTCTCCCAGGTTGGAGTACAGAGGCACAGTCTCAGCTTACTGCAACCTCTGCCTCCTGGGTTCAAGTGACTCTCCCACCTCAGCCTCCTTAGTAGCTGGGATTACAGGCACCCACCACTGAGTCCTGCTAATTTTTGTATTTTTAGTAGTGACGGGGTTTCACCATGTTGGCCAGGCTGGTCCCAAACTCCTGACATCAGGTGATCCACCCACCTCAGCCTCCCAAAGTGCTGGGATTACAGGCATGAGCCACCATGCCCTGCCAGCAGATATTTTATCCGAAACTTTGGAGGCCAGAAAACAGTGGGTTCAAAACACTGAAGAAAAAAAAAAAATTTAACTGTCAACAAGGAATCCTGTATCTGGCAAAACTATTCTTCAAAAATGAGGGAGAAATTAACACTCACCCAGATAAAAATTACCTGTGGTTCTACCTTACAAGAAATGCTGAAGATAATTTTTTAGGGTGGGATGAAAGAATACTAGACAGTAACTCTACAAAATACCAAAGCAAACATCATAATTAATGGCAAAATATTGAAGGCTTTCCTTTAAGTTGGGAATGAACTCTCATATACTCATCATCCAGCTGCAGCCATGATTATCCGCTTACGACCAATCTTGTTTCTCTCCACCCACACCCACCTCCTTACACCTTCATTCCAGATTATTTTGAAACAAGTCTCAGACATTTCTATCATTTTGTCTGTGTAAATCACTGTGTATTTGTATTTCTTCAGTTTGTTGGAATAAAATTTTAAATAACATCTATTTGTGGCAGTTGGTTAAGTTGTTTAACCTATATATTCTCTCTCCACATCTCTCTTTTATGCCCCACCCCACCCCCGCACCACCTCCCATTTATTTGTGATAGAACCCAGGTCATTTCTTGTGCAGAGATTTCCCCACACTGTATTTTCTGATTACCTTCTCATGGGGTTATTTATATGAATGTTTGTCCCCTTATTTTCTGTAAACTGTTACGTAGATCTCTAAGTCATTTTAATCTGAAATTTTCATCAAAGTCAAAAGTGTCATAAATTAATGAATAGGTGTTTTGGCTACACTGAGCTGATGCAGAATTTGTTAAAACCCTCTGTCATTCCAAGTATATAGCAACATATTCAGTAACTAAATCTAGTTTTTATTGTTTTTGTTTTCATTTATTTATTTATTTTGTTGTTGTTGTTGAGACAGAGTCTCCGTCACCCAGGCTGGAGTGCAGTGGCTTGATCTCAGCTCACTGCAACCTCTGCCTCCCGGGTTCAAGCGATTCTCCTGCCTCAGCCTCCCGAGTAGCTGGGACTACAAGCATGTGCAACCACTCCCACCTAATTTTTATATTTTTGGTAGAGACAAGGTTTCGTCTTGTTGGCCAGGCTGGTCCTGAACTCCTGACCTCAGGTGATGCACCTGCCTCGGCCTCCCAAAGTGCTGGGATTACAGGTGTAAGCCACCATGCCCAGTCTGTTATTTTTATTTTTAAAAATCCCAGAAACAGGCTGGGCTCAGTGGCTCACACCTGTAGTCCCAGCACTTTGGGAGACTGAGGTTAGCAGATCACCTGAGGTCAGCAGTTTGGGACTAGCCTGCCCAACTATGAAACCCCATCTCTACTGAAAATATAAAAATTAGCCGGGCGTGGTGGCGCATGCCTGTGATCCAGCTACTTGAGAGATGGAGGCAGGAGAATCGCTTAAACCCAGGAGGCGGAGGTTGCAGTGAGCCGAGATCACGCCACTGCACTCCAGCCTGGGTGACAGAGTGAGACCCTGTCTCAAAAAAAATAAAATAAAATCCCAGAAATGGCCAGAATGACTCAAGTTTTTAATGACATTCATATTTTCAACAGAGTTCAACTTTTCATGATTTTCTATTTTACGTCTTCTCTCCTTTGTCATCTTTTTTTAAAAAGTATTACAATGTGGTAATTATCAATTTCTGTATTTATTTACATAGGGAAATGAATAAGCGTCTAACAGAAGAACAAGCCAGAAAAACGTTTGAGAGAGCCATGAAACTGGAACAGGAGTTTACTGAACATTTCACAGGTTGGAACCACATTGTAACAGTCCTCTTTAAGATAAAATTTTGCTCTGAAGCCATGTGAACTGACCCATGCAAGTGGATTTTGAACTATGCCTGCATCTACCAGTAGTAACTAGTACTGTCATTTTCAGAACAAACCCTTAAGATCAGTGGTTTTGTCCTGTGGGAAATTCATCTAGCCTAGGCAGTGGTGCTGGGGAATCTTTTTTGGAGACGGAGTTTTGCTCTGTTGCCCAAGCGGAGTGCAGTGGTGTGACTCGGCTCCCTGCAACCTCTGCCTCCCAGGCTCAAGTGATTCTCCTGCCTCAGCCTCCTGAGTAGCTGGGACTACAGGCATGCACCACCATGCCTGGCTAATTTTGTATTTTTAGTAGAGATGGGGTTTCTCCATGTTGGCCAGGCTGGTCTTGAACTCCTGACCTCAGGTGACCCACCTGCCTCAGCCTCCCAAAGTGCTGGGATTACAGGAGTGAACCACCGCGCCCCGCCAGGAATCTTGAGATTTAATGTTTCTTAGGTTATTGATTAGAACAGCAAAAACAGGAATAATTCATACTTGACCAGGGAAAAAGAGATTTAGATTTCATTTATTCTGTGAAACTCATGATTTTTCTCTTATCCTTTATAAATTTTGATCCATTTTCTCTAGCCATGTTGAGGTATAATTGACAAAATGTGTATATATTCACGGCATATAATGTGATGTGATAAATGTATACATTGTAAATTGATTAACACAATCAAGTTAACATGTCTTTCACCACACAGTTACCATTTTGTGTGTGTAGGGAAGATGCTTAATACTCTTTATTAACAATAGTCACTATTGCTGTAGATTAGATCCCCAGAATTTACTCATCTTATAACTGAAAGTTTGTACCCTTTCACCAACATCTCCCCATTTCTTCTACTCTGCAGTCCCTGGAAACCACCTGTGTTTCAATGAGTTCTACTTTTTTAGATTCCACGTAGAAATGAAATACAGTATTTGCTTTGCTGTGTCTGGCTTATTTCATGTAGCATCAGGTCCTCCACATTCACTCATGTTGGTTGTTGCAGATGATAGGATTTTCATTTTTATGGCCTAATAAAATACTGCATTGTTGTATATATACCATATACATACATACATACATATATAGATATGTGTATTTGTTGTTTCTTGTTTTTAGTTTTTTCTCTTTTTTTTTTGAGACAGAGTCTCACTGTGTTGCCCAGGCTGCAGTGCAGTGGCGCGATCTTGGCTCATTGCAAGCTCCGCCTCCCGGGTTCACGCCATTCTCCTGCCTCAGCCTCCCCAGTAGCTGGGACTACAGGCGCCGCCACCACGCCCTGCTAATTTTTTGTATTTGTTAGTAGAGACGGGGTTTCACTGTGTTAGCCAGGATGGTCTCGACTCCTGACCTCGTGATCCACCTGCCTCAGCCTCCCTGAGTGCTGGGATTGCAGGCATGAGCCACCACGCCCAGCCTGTTTTTGGTTTTTTTATTCATTTCTGAGACAGGGTCTTTTTCTTGCCCAGGCTGGAGTACAGTGCCATGATCATGGCTCACTGCAGCCTCAACCTCCTGGGCTCAAGCAATTCTCCCTCTTCAGCTTCCTTAGTAGCTGGGACTACAGGTGTGCAGCACCACACCTGGCTAATTTTTTATTTGTAGAGACAGGGTCTCACTGTGTTGCCTAGGCTGGTCTCAAACTCTTAGGCTCAAGCAATTCTCCTTCCTCGGCCTCCCAGAGTGCTTGGATTATAGGTGCACTGCACCTGGCCTACAATACTTTATTCATTCATTCAACTTTTTTTTTTTTTTTTTTTTTTTTTTGAGATGGAGTTTTGCTCTTGCTGCTCAGGCTGGAGTGCAGTGGCGTGATCTCAGCTCACCACAACCTCCCAGGTTCAAGCAATTCTCCTGCCTCAGCCTCCTGAGTAGCTGGGATTACAGGCATGTGCTACCACGCCCGGCTAATTTTGTATTTTTAGTAGAGACGGGGTTTCTCCGTGTTGGTCAGGCTGGTCTCAAACTCCTGACCTCAGGTGATCTGCCCGCCTCGGCTTCCCAAAGTGCTGGGATTACAGGCGTGAGCCACCGGGCCTGGCTCATTCATCTTTTGACAGACTCTTAGGTTATTTTCCTATCTTGGCTATTGTTGATTATGTTGCAGTGAACATAGGACTGCAGATTTCTCTTCAACATACCCATTTATTTTCCTTTGGGTTTGTTGTTGTTGGCTTTTTGTTTGTTTGTTTTTATTGTTTTGTTTTGAGACAGTCTCACTCTGTTGCCCAGGCTGGAATGCAGTGGCATGATCTCGGCTCACTGCAACTGTCGCGTCCTGGGTTCAGTTGATTCTCCTGCCTTAGCCTCCCAAGTAGTGGGGACTAGAGGCGCATGCCACCGCACCCAGCTAATTTTTGTATTTTTAGTAGAGACAGGGTTGGCCAGGCTGGTCTCAAACTCCTGACCTCAAGTGATCCGCCTGCCTCAGCCTCCCAAAGTGCTGGAATTACAGGCGTGAGCCACCACGCCTGGTCCAATTTCGTTTCCTTTGGATATATATACCCAGTAGTGGGATTGCTAGGTCATATAATAGTTCAGTCTTTAATTTTTTGAGGTGACCGGGCACGGTGGCTCATGCCTGTAATCCCAGCATTTTGGGAGGTCCAGGTGGGCGGATCACCTGAGGTTGGGAGTCCGAGACCAGCCTAACCAACATGGAGAAACCCCATCTCTACTAAAAATACAAAATTAGCCAGGTGTGGTGGTGCATGCTTGTAATGCCAACTACTTGGCAGGCTGGGGCAGGAGAATCGCTTGAACCCAGGAGGCGGAGGTTGCGGTGAGCCGAGATCACGCCATTGCACTCCAACCTAGGCAACAAGAGCGAAACTCCGTCAAAAAAAAAAAAAAAAAAAAAAAAATTTGAGGAATGTCCACACTGTTTTCTATGATGGCTTTACTCATTTACATTCCCACCAACAGTGTACAGGGTTCCCTTTTCTTCATACCATTGCCTACTTGTTATCTCTTATCTTTTTGATAACAGCCATCCAAACAGGTCTAAGGGGATATTTCATTATGGGGTGGGTTGGGGTGTGTGTGTGTGTGTGTGTGTGTGTGTGTGTGTGACAGTCTTGCTATGTCACCCAGGCTGGAGGCAGTGGCATGATCTCATCTCACTGCAACCTCTGCCTCCTGGGTTCAAGTGATTCTCGTGCCTCAGCCTCCTGAATAGCTGGGAGTACAGTCACCCGCCACCACACTCGGCTAATTTTTGTGTTTTTAGTAGAGACAGGGTTTTGCCATGTTGGTCAGGCTGGTCTCGAACTCCTAGTCTCAAGTATCTGCCCACCTCAGCCTCCCAAAGTGTTAGGATGGCAGGCGTGAGCCACTGCGCCCAGCCTCATGATTTTGATTTCTATTCCTCTGATGACTAAAGAGGTTGAGCACTTTTACTGATACCTGTTGGCCATCTGTATGTCTTCTTTGGATAAATATCTATTCCAGTCCTTTGCCCGTTTTTAAAATGGATTGTTTGGTATTTTGCTAATGAGTTTCTTATATATTTTGGATATTAACCCCTTATCAACTGCATGGTTTAGAAATATTTTCTCCTCTTCCATAGGTTGCCTTTTCATTTTGTTGATTGTTCCTTTGCTGTGTAGATTTTTTATTTGATCTCCCACTTGATGATTTTTTTATTTTGCTGCTTGTGCTTTCCAAAAAATCATCCAAGACCAGTGTCAAGGAGCTTTTTCCCTGTTTTCTTCTAGGAGTTTTATGGTTTCTGGTTTTACATTTAAGTATTTAATCTATTTCAAGTTAATTTTGTATAAGATAAGGGTTTAATTTCATTCTCTTGCATGTGGATATCCAGATTTTCCAACACCATGTATTTAAAACACTAGCCTTTCCCTATTGTGTGTTCTTGGCCCCTTGTCAAAGATTAGTTGCCCTTTGATCCGTTTTGAAATACTATTTGTTTAAAAAAAAAAAAAAGAAAGAGTAGGTAGCAATTCCCCAATATTCTTTTCTTACTCAGTTTGTCCTTTAACTGACTCCTCAAGTCTTTGGACACTTTTGTTGTTGTTACTTGTTTGTTTGAAATACTATCAGCCTAAATTTGACATTCACAGTGAGTATCAGTAAGGGTCATGGTTTTTGTAAGCCTTGTGCTTTCTTACTTTTTTCAAACTAATTTCAGACTTAAATAGAAGTTAGAAGAATAGTACAGAGAGTCTCATGTACCCTTCACCCAAATTCCTCAAGTGTTAACATTTTACCACATTTATAATTTTTTCTGAAACATTTGAGGGTAAGTTTCAGGTAGATGCCCCTTTACTTCTAAATATTTCAGTGTGTATTTTCCAAAAAACAGGGAGATGCCCTTATATAATCATAGTTTTATTACCAAAATCAGGAAATTTAATAATTATATGTCTCATCTAACTATAGATCTTATTATTATTTCACTATTCTTCTAATCTCTTTAGAGCAAAATGGGAAAAAAATGGTTGTTCTGTTCCGGTACAAGATGCAGTTCAGGCTCACGTGTTACAGTGAATTATCACATCTTTAACGTTCTTTAATCTGAAATAGTTCCCAAGTCTTGTCATTCATGACCTTGACTGACATTTTTTAAGAGTAAAATCTAGGGGGGTTTTTTGGTTGTTTTTTCTGTTTCGTTTGTTTTGTTTTGTTTTTTGAGCCAGGGTCTCACTCTGTCGCCCAGGCTGGAGTGCAGTGATGCAATCTCAGTTCACTGGAGCCTCCACCTCCCAGGCTCAAGTGATCCTCCTACCTCAGCCTCCCAAGGAGCTGGGACTACAGGCTGCAGCCAACGTGCCCAGCTAATTTTTGTATTTTTTTGTAGAGACAGGATTTCACCGTGTTGCCCAGGCTGGTCTGTAACTCCTCCGATCCGCCCACCTTCACCTTGACCTCCTGTAGTGGTGGGATTACAGGCGTGAGCCACTGCACCTGGCCAGAGACCCATTCTTTTATAAAATGTCCCTCCCTCAATTTGGATTTATCTGACGTTTTCTCATAATTAGATTTAGGTTATGCATTTGGGGCAGGAATAGCAGTGAAGTAATGATGTATCCTCTGTGTGTCATACAAGGAGGTTTACAGTCTGCTTGTGCCGTTACTTGTGATGCTAATTTTAATCACATGGTTAAGGTGTCTGCAGCCTTATGCTCTCCCAGTTTCTTCCCAAGGGGTATCCTGGTTTACTAACCATGCCATTCATGAATTTACAAAGTAAGCAAAATGTATATTTCCCAAGTCAATTCCTGACTCTTTTCTCCTAAAATAAATCCTTGCGTGCTGTTGTCAACCTAAACTATGAAATGCTCTGGGATTCTGTCCTGTGCTGTTGGAGTGCATCAAGATGCCAAACCCACAAACCAAGTATTTTGTCAATTGAACTGAGTCTTCAGGGACACTGAGGCATGTCTGTATTTAGCTCAAAAGGTAGAAGTCTCACAAAACTGATACTAGCGAATATTATGTTACTTAAAATTCTTGTTTACTCAGGCATTCCTAGCTATGTATAAGCCCTTCTTACCTATATATAACTTCTTTCTTCTATGCACATAATCTCAGGTGCCAAATAGACAGTATTATTTAAAATCTCCCTTCGACATTTTATGCTCAGTTTTTCAGACCATGGAAATCTACACCTATGATGCTCTTCCAAGATCACTGGGGATTTTTTTGTAGTTTAATAAGTGACTTATTTAATTTGCAATTCTGAATTATTTCATTTATATGTAAACTTTTTTTGTGAGAAACAGGGTTTCACTTTGTCACCCAGGCAAATGGTACGATCCAGTGGTACGATCATAGCTCACTGCAAATGTGAACTCTGGGCTCGAGAAATCGTCCTGCTCTCTCAGCCTCCCGAGTAGCCAGGACCACAGGCACACACCACCATGCCTGGCTAATTTTTTTTTTTTTTTTTTTTTTTTTTTTTTTTTTTGGACACACTGTCTCACTATGTTCCCCAGGCTGATCTCAAACTCCTAGCCTCAAGCAACCCTCCAGTTCAGCCTCCCAAAGTGCTGGGATTGCAGGCATGAGCCAACATGCCCAGCCATAAACATTTTCTTTCCTCTTAAAAAGTGACTTATGCTTAGTGCTGTCTAGCGATACTTTGTTTTTGTTTGTTTGCTTGCTTTATTAACCGACCCTCATCCCTCACAGACCTCAGGGGCTTCAGCTATTTCCGAAGAATTACTTATTAGTAATTGTTACTCTTTTTTTCACACATTATTTCAGGCAGCAAATAAACATTGATTGTTAAGTCTCTAAACACTAACAAGCTGGCTTAGATAATTCACCTACTCTACAGTAACTGACATGCCAGCTTAACTGAAACAAGTAGCATCAATCTGTAGCCAGCTCTTTTCTGCCGTGATCCTACCCCAAAAAAATAAAACATTATCCTGCATCGTCCTGTCTGTGGGATTGTAGCCAGTTTCCTTTGTCCTACATGGTGATGGAGAAATCAGGACAGTTAAGAAAATAATTTGTTTTAAAATAATAAAGCTAATATATGCTCAGATGGTAAAAGAACAAAAGATCACCAAATCGTACTTTTTGATCCATTTTTAAGATAAAAATTTTATACTGTACAAGTAGGAAAATTAATGAAGTGAGCCGTTTTTTCTAAGTGAACAGTGCGTAAACGGTGATTCTTCCTGGATGAGTAACTTTCTCAAAGATATTAGTTTCTGCTATTTCACCAATAATTGTAATGACAAAATAGACAATTAATGGAGATTTCTGATTTTTTTTCTATCATTACAGCTATTGTACAGGGAGATACGCTGGAAGACATTTACAACCAAGTGAAACAGATCATAGAAGAACAGTCTGGTTCTTACATCTGGGTTCCAGCAAAAGAAAAGTTATGAAAACTCATGTTTCTCTATTTCTCTTTTCCACAATTCCATTTTCTTTGACATCTCTTTGCCCTTTCCTCTGGAGTCTTTTTTCAATAATGATTTCATGTTGAATTATATCCCACATCATGGTCTGCAGGTGCGCTTATTTTTTTACATGTAGTGTCTCCTTCAAGTTACATCATGTGTATTATTTAATGTCACTATTGGTTAGTGGCCATTTTTCACAACTGAAGATGGAATGGCCTGACCAGCTATTAAGAATTTGGGGAGACGCAGAAATTGTGGTAAAATTCCTTAATGTTTAAGGGAAAGTAACTTTAAGAGATTTTTGGAAAAGCTTTATATACATTCTTTTCAAATTTCAGTACAAATGAAAAAGTGGTTTTAATCAGTGATTTAGTAGACTTTGAGCAACTATGCACGCTTAAGTTTAATAGCATGGTTTGGCCAATGTATTACTCTCCAGTCCTGTTCTCAGTCAGCTTCTATCATCAAAGCAATTGTCTCATTATAGATAAATAAGGAAAACATGTTTTAATTTAAAAATTCATGTCTGAGTTAACTTTCATAAGGGATTTCATTTTTCCTAAGCATTATTAAAGTCTTTTATTATTTGAAGGTTCTTTTTTCCCAGTACATTTGCTAGGAATAACAACGTTTAAATGTTTTTAATCTACTTGAGCAACACTATCGTGTCTTACAAAAGTTGTTCATATGTAAATGATCATCACATTCTGTGAATCGAGGCCATGTTCAGGTGCTAAGGAAGTTCGCCTTTTACACAGAAGGTTGAGAAAATTTCCTAGATATAAATACAGATAAATCAGACATTACAGTGGTGATGTAGAAACCATAATGGCAATGGAAAGGAGTCCAATTCATAGCCTAAAACTTAAAAATGTATTCTTAGGAGTCAGATTTTACTGAATATTTTACCCACAATAGCTGCCTATTTTGTTATAATAAAATATATATAAATATATATATAAAACTTTCTTTAAACTCTGTAACTATGGGAATTATTTTCTTTACATAGTTGCGCACACACACAAACGTATATATATATATATTTAAAATATATTTTGTTTCTTTTGCCACCTACTCCTAACTTTTTGTTTGGTTTTTAAATTAAATATTAATTGAATAGACTTATCTTCCTTAATCCTGTGAACTGAAAATGGGGGCATGGTGATCATGAGGAGAAACATTTAGGGGAATTAGATTATAAGTAAAAGTATGGGCGTATTCTCCTCTTTTCTATAAAAGTTTTCAAATGGTTCCTGGGGTTTTTTTGTTGTTGTTCTTGTTGTTATTGTTGTTCTTGTCATCAGGTTTGATTTTGGTCCTTGCCCTTTCCTTCTAGTTCTCCTTTTATTAATAGGAAGGCAGGCAAAAGCCCCATTTATGTGTGTGTTTTCCCCTCAGACAGCTTTCATCCACTGCTCTGCACTAGAATTGCACAAATCTTCATGGTGAGCAATTTTAAGAAATTTTAGTGAAAGGTAGAAATTATTTCAGAAATCAGTTTCTCTGGTCCTTTATATTAATAATAATATTTGGCTTCCCATTGCTCTTTGGAGTTGTTTATTAAATATGTGTTTTTGACAACCTCCTCATTACAGTTTCTTAAAGAAATGAGTACTGGTTTGTAAAGAATTATCAACATTATCCATTCCATTTATGAAGAAGAGGAGAACAGCTAATAAACTGTATTGTAAAATCCATATGTTAAATGTGTCTTGAATTTTGAAAGAAAAAAATATTTTGCAAGCTAACATTTTCTTGAAACAATTTGAGGCATCATGTAATTTATAACTGAATTCAAGAGCCATTAGGCAACAGAGTATGTTAACACATTGAAATACACACAGTATTGCTGTTACACTAAATATTGTAGGTTGTTAACAAAATAGAAATATACTAGAAGAAAACTATTGTAAAATCTCAAGAGCTTCAGAAATTGCCTTACAAGACCCCAGCATAAGCTGTTTTGAAGTATTTACCAAATAGTCACATGTTGTAAAATACCAAGTGGGTTATAAAAGGATGCCATTTATGTATTAAAATCTACATAACATTTTTTTCTGGATGTCCTTGTTAAGTGATTTTTTTGTAAGAATATATGATTGTGCAGCTTTCTAGCTTGTACAGGATTATCAATAATGAGATTACTAATTGCTGAGTATTATGCAATAGCCACTTTAGTATCATACCTCTTGTTTTTTGTTTTTGGTTTTGTTTTTGGTTTTGGTTTTTTTGTGTTTTTTTTTTTTGTTTTTGAGACGAAGTCTTGCTCTGTCACCAAGCTGGAGTACACTGGCTTGATCTTGGCTCACTGCAACCTCTGGCACCTGAGTTTAAGCGATTCTCCTGCCTCAGCCTCCGAAGTAGCTGGGATTACAGGCGCCCACCACCACACCCCGCTAATTTTTGTATATTTAGTAGAGACAGAGTTTCAGCATCTTGATCAGGCTGGTCTTGAACTCCTGACCTTGTGATCCACCCCCTCGGCCTCCCAAAGTGCTGGGATTACAGGCATGAGCCACTGCACCCGGCCCATACCTTTTAATTAAAAAAAAAAAAAAGAGAGAAGTGGTGTTACTCACCCCACTATAAGGTTTACATTAAACCACTCGCCCAAGATGACTTAGCTAGTAAGTGGCAGTGCTTAGTATTTGGATCCAAGCCTCTCTGCCCCAAGTCTACATTCTTTCCAGTACACTTGGCTGCCTCATTTTTCACCCCCTACTGTGTAAAGAACTGTAACTTAAATTACTAGTTTAGCAGTCCTTTACAAATAAGGAAAGACTCTTAGATGAAAATCCTTGCCCAAAGTCATACAGTTAGTAAGGACAGACCCATAGAACAAGTCACTCCCGTCAAAGTTGAAAAGACTGTTTGTGGGAAACAAGTCAGCCTCGCCCCGCCACCGTGACATGCCAAGAAATGATCCTTTAAAACCAGAATTGAAACAGTGTTTGTAAGAAGAGTCCATTATTGTAATGCCCAGAGAATAATACAGTTTCAAATGTTTCGAAAGGCTGTCTTTTTTAATATGCCTCTTCATATCCTTAAGTTGGCAAAAAGAAAAGTGCCTCTTGGATTTGGCTGTAGCTATCTGGTTGCTTTCCTGTTCTGTGACTACCTGGGGCTCTTCAATAAATAATGGAAGCAAGCAGGCCGGGCGCGGTGGCTCACGCCTGTAATCCCAGCACTTTGGGAGGCCGAGGCAGACGTGTCACCTGAGGTCAGGAGTTTGAGACCGGCCTGACCAACATGGAGAAACCCTGTCTCTACTAAAAATAAAAAATTAGCCAGGCGTGGTGGCACATGCCTGTAATCCCAGCTACTCGGGAGGCTGAGGCCGGAGAATCGCTTGAACCCGGGAGGCAGAGGTTGCAGTGAGCTGAGATCATACCATTGCATTCCAGCCTGGGCAATGAGAGAAACTCCATCTCAAAAACAAATAATAATAATGGAAGCAAGCCTGCAGAGCTAATTCCAGCAAAATACACTCTGGTTAACAAATACTTGCAAAACACTATAGTATTTAAACTCCAAAGATAGCAATTAAGGAATTTTAGTAATTAGTAAAAATTGTTTTCTAACGTATTAGAGCAGTTACCTTCTAAGATTCTCTGCCTTGAATACTCTTAATTTACATGTGATAAAATAGAAGCCTAAAGATCCCTATGTCTTAACAAAGTTACACTGCAAATCAGGGACAGAGCCAGAATTAGAACTTTTAACTCCTGACTCCTAGAAAATAGTTTTCCTACCATACAAATTCCTTTTCCTCCCATTCTAAGCTGGATTTTGTGGTTTATTCAATCCCTGAAGGTTTGAATTTCTGCTGTTAAATATTGGTACATTTATGATATTACAGTGAAGAAGTTGCATTTTAAAGATATCAAGGAAATACACAGGTGTCACTTTCCGGACCCTAGTGTAGAGCATTTGGTAGTTAAGTCTAATATTTAAGATTCCATTTGTCTCCCTCCAGAATTGCACAGTATACCTCTCACTGACTTTGGCAGCAGTGCCCTCTGATGTGAAGAATGTGGGCTGTGGAATCAGCTTGATTTGAATGCCACTCTGCCACTTATGTAACTTTGGGCAAGTCATATAATCCCTCTTACTGTTTACTTATCTGTAAAATGGAGATCTATTGAGGATCAGTAAGATTACAGATAAAGGGAACCAGCACATAGAACACTCTAAAAGCTAATTCCCTTTTCCTTTGGAATCGGAGGCTTAGAATTCTTCCAGCTTCTCTTGTGGAGATTAACCTGACCCTTAATTTTGCCGTGTTTTAAATGGGATTTGAATGACTACCTTGCAGGATTGTTATAAGGGCTAAAGTGATGTATACAAAACACAGTTGGCCAGGCGCGGTGGCTCAGGCCTGTAATCCCAGCACTTTGGGAGGCCGAGGTGGGTGGATCACGAGGTCAGGAGATCGAGACCAACCTGGCTAACACGGTGAAACCCCGTCTCTACTAAAAATATGAAAAGAAAATTAGCCGGGCGTGGTGGCAGGCGCCTGTAGTACCAGCTACTCACGAGGCTGAGGCAAGAGAATGGCATGAACACGGGAGGCGGAGCTTGCAGTGAGCCCAGATCACGCCACTGCACTCCAGCCTGGGCGACAGAGCAAGACTCCATCTCAAAAAAAAAAAAAAATGTGTGTATATATCATCTGATACTTCACACTTCTGTTTTTCCCCATACGAAGGGTTGTGTTTATGTTGGGTGGCAGACCCACAACATTAGTTGTGGAGAGTCTCAAAACAGGCCTGAAATAATAGTGTGAAAAGTATTACTTAAATCACCCGGATAAAATATTTTGTCTTTAATTTGACTAGAAATAGTCACTACTTAACTAACTTTCCACCACTGGCTCTTTCTCCACTTCACCCAAATAGGGTTACCTGAGAGCTGGCAGAACAGGAAATCCTAGTCTACTCAACAGTGTGATGAACAGAAATGGTGATCAGGTAGCTTTTTATTGAAGTATAACATATCTATGTAAATGTATAGATACACATAAGTGTAATACCTTAATACTTCTTTACGGATAGGCTGGGCGCGGTGGCTCACGCCTGTAATCCCAGCACTTTGGGAGGCCGAGGCAGGTGGATCATGAGGTCAGGAGATCGAGACCATCCTGGCTAACGCGGTGGAACCCCGTCTCTTACTAAAAATACAAAAAAAAAGTAACCAGGCGTGATGGCGGGCACCTGTAGTCCGTCTCAAAAAAATAAATAAATAAAATAAAAAAGTACTTCTTTACAGAGAAACATCACCTGTGTAACAATCATGAAGCTCGGTACATAGAGCATGACCGGCCCCCCAGGTGACCTCGGCTTCCGCCTGGTCTCCCACCGCGGGCAGGGGAAGCTGCTGTCTTCTATCTTTATTTTTTAATTTGTCTACAGTAAAGTTCACTTTTTTGGGTGTATCATTCTAGGTTTTGACGCATGCATAGAGTCGTGTAACCACCACCACAATCAAGAATACGAAACAGTTCACTGTCCCAAAGAAATTCTCAGATGCTTTTCCTGTGTAGTCCAGACCTCACAGCCCCAGTCTGTGACAACCACCGCTCTGTTTCCAGTGCCTACAGTTTTGCCTTTCCCAGAATGTCACGGGGAGTATAGTGTAGCATTTGGGGCGTGGCTTAGCAACATGCATTGGAGAGGAATGCATGGTTTTCGTTGCCAAGCAGCGTTCCGTTGTGTGGATGCACCACAGACTGCATTCACTGCTGGAAGGGTTTGGGGGCTGTTTTCGTTTTTTCCCATGATAGTTGTGTATTTCTTTGCCACCCTAGACCTACAGGAACAAGAGGCAGCAAGCAGAAGAGGGTTTCTGATGCTGAAAGCCATGAAGGGCCCAGCCCCACCCCCACCCCCACCTCATCAGTACTGTGAGGACCCACATGCTTAGCCGGTTGCATAGGAGCCTGTCATCCTGAAACAAATTTTAAAGGCAGAATGATGGATCCCAAGAGCCTGTTTACAGAAGAAGTTTGTGTCTAAAGCAGGAATGACTGCGAGAATGAGCACATCAGAATTTCAGGCCCTCAGGAAAAAACACTAATGATCCAAAAGCCCGGTGTGCCAGTGACTGGTGCCTGACTCATTACTGAGGTCCTAGGTGAAATAAGTGTAGTCTATCTAGGACAGCAGTGAGTGAGAAGAGAACAAACTGCAGACAGGCCGTTGCTGAAGATGGGATTGGCTCATAGCCTTATAATTTAGAAAACAGTCCATGCAGACAAAACCCTGATCTTTTCAGAAAATTGGGTTTGTTGGATTCCAGACAAAGGATTGTCATTTTTCCAAATTACTGTTTTCTTTAGGTGGTAACCTCTACGCATTTTAAATATTACTTATGCAATTTCTAGTAATCTAATTCTAGTGCAGTGCACTTAAGGAGTCCTTGATGAGACCTGGTTCCACCAACGGCTGTGACGCTCAGCCTTTTCCTGCGTGCAGGTAGCACATGTGGCCTTGACAGTCCCTTCACTTTAACCACAGTACGGCTGCTCACTTGTGTGAAAAAAACACCGTAGGTCCCGCCTTTCATTTGGTTCCAGATTAATCCTTAGGAAATACCGGTGTTTACCGAAAGTAGAAAGAAACTACTTGTGTTGCGCATATATTTATCCTACTTCTGCCAGTCAACTGTTAATGACCAATTTCATTTGGACAGTTTATAACT